GACGAGGCGGCTTGAGACGGTACATTACATGAGAAACACGAGAATGAAATAAAGAAGTCATACCAGTCTAGTGAGATGATCGCTTGCTGAGCGACATTGCCCAATATGATGATCTAGGCCTACCACGTGTCATATCGGGGAATTGATGAGTATGGAAACAAGAGACCCAAAGATTAAGCGGATAGAGAGAGTATTGAAGATGGGAGCACATTTGAAGCGAGTCAAGGTGATCTCGTTATTGGCTAATAGTAAGCGGAAACTTGGCATTATTCCATCGCTAACTATTATTCGACCTCTTACTGCAGCTGTTAATGTCGTCTAAGCTCTACGAGGAAGATGATGGCCTTGGTATTGATTCACAAGTTGGAGCGATTGTTTGATCATTCTGGAGAATTATGAAAAAGTTCAATCAGATGAATCCCCGAGAATGACTGGCTGTAATAGGTAGACGGGGAGCTGTATATTTGCTGCAGGAAGTTGAGCGCAATTTTGAGAAGGTTTTTGAAGAACACGGAGGATTGAGGATTTGTCGCAGATTAAGTGAAGGATTTCTTGGTCATGTTTGGTTTGTATCAGGCAGTATATATACCTAGTTGAGTGTCTCTGAAATCCAAGAACATTTATATGCGTCAGCCTTGCTCATTTATCTTGCTTTTGTCAACTACAGAACACAAGTGCCTATATTGAAGCGAGCTCTATATCAAGGTGGTTCATGATCATGAAGTTCTCGATTTCTCTTCTCAGTGGCCTCACCCTCTTGAATTTCAGCTCTGCCTCAACTATTACTCGGCCCGAGGCCCATGTTCCTTACTACTCGCGCGATGCTGAGCCAACCTGTATAACTCCAGGCATCATCCCCAACATCACAGGCTCTCAGATCCGCAATGTTGGGGTTGTTCTCTTCCAGGCTCTCGATATGATCGATGTCTTTGGTCCTCTGGATCCTCTCCAGATCCTCTCGCTCAGCGTCCAGCAGCTCAATCTTCACCTCATCGCTGAGACGCTTGAACCTGTTAGCACAGCCCCTTTGGCCATGAACAAGTTCAATTCAAGCTTCTTTCCAACGATCCCACCAACCAATACATTTAACGACGACCTGGATCTCGATCTGCTTATTGTTCCTGGCGGTCCTGGCGCGAGGAACCCGAACCTTGAGGCTGTCACGGATTACATTGCAAAGATGTATCCCAAGGTCAAGATGCTCATGACTATCTGCACTGGTGCTGGCGTTGCAGCTAGATCAGGTGTTTTAAATGGGCATCTAGCAACGACTAACAAAAACGCCTGGGCAACTATGAAGGAGATGGGTCCCAGAGTGAAATGGGTATCTCCCGCTCGTTATGTCATCGATGGCAAAGTCTGGTCTTCTTCAGGCGTAAGTCGTTGATCAATCTTGCTGAAACTGTTGATATTTTTGATCTGACACTCTTTTTAGGTCACTTCTGGGCTGGATCTTATATTTGCCTTTATTGATACTTTCTGGGGTGCAGAACAGTCCGAGCGTATCGCGAGTATTGTTGAGCATGTCCCTCGTGTTGCAACTGATGACCCCTTCTCGGAACACTTTAATATTACGCCCACTGATGCTCAGCCCTGCCCAAAGATTTGAAAGGGCCCCTAAACCCGTGAACGATACTGAGAGAGCAGTGGTGATGTTTGTAGTATGACTTTAGGTATATAGTTTTGATTTAAACCGGTCAACATTGGGCCTTTTGCTGTTGTCACCTACCCATTTACAAGTCTCATGTTGTCTTCAGTTAGATATTTGAAGCTCGATTGCAATGCAAGACATAGCCCTCAAAGCAGAACCTCATATCTCAGTTCTTCTCTCTGGTCACCACAAGATTTCAGTTCAACTACGCATCTCGAAATATCCTCTCTGAAACGAGATGTCTTCACTGCTGCGCTGGAGTTGAAAACAGAGTAAAAAAAACCACTTAGAGTGCTCTTTGAAGATTTTCGTATTATGCCATTCTACGCCCAAATCAGTATGATACAGATGTCCATCTCACTTCATGTCTACCATCTTCACAACCCAATACCCTTTTAACGCCAGGCTGTGCTCGCCATTATAATTAACTAAGATCCATTTTCTCATCACCGTTGCTGGCCGCTCCGCCTACTGCGAAGTCGACTGCACCTGTGTTGCCGATCAGGCGCTTCTCTGACTCAGCCACGAACTTGACGCTGCGGGCGGGATCATAGAAGAGCTGGAAGCTGCGTTGCACATCACCAACTTCGACTTGCTTGGCTTTTCTCTTGGCAGAAACAAGTTGCGAAGTGCTGATGAGGTTACTGGCGTATCGGAGACCTGCCTCCTGGCCGATCTTTGTGAGAAGGGCGAGAGCGTCAGGATGCACATCGATCTCTTCTTCTTGGGCTCGGATGGACAGGATCTGCTTGATCTCCTCAGGGTTATATGCGTGTGTGTTAATGATAACGACTCGGTCCAAGAAGTCGAGAGGCAGTCCATGAGGGCTGCGGTAGTCAGTACCGCGGATGCGGGAGTTGCCTCGGTTGCTGGCCATGATAACCACAGGAGCAAGGTCGTCCTCAAGAGCTCGGTTGATGTATGAAAAGCACTCGATATCGAGCATATGCACTTCATCGATGAACAAGACACCAGGAACAATCTCAGCCTTGCCCTCTTCCTTCCACTCGCCGACCTTTGTGTTAATCTGGTCTCGAATCTCGCTGCGGATTTCGCCAGTATCACCGGAGAAGAGAGCAAGGAAGCCCTGGGTTCTCGAGTTGATTACATCGATCTCGTGTAGTGTGACTGTGTGAACAACCTCCTTGCGCTTTTGGAGCTCTCCATCCGGGCACTGGAGGAATTTGGTATCGACACCCATAGCATCATAGTCGCGAGATCGGGCATACGATCGGCCGAGTTTGGTGATCTTTCCAGAAGACTTGTCTATCGAGATGATGTCGCCTGCCATAACGCGTTCCTTGGTCATGGCATCGATCATCTTGCTACCCATATCGTAGACTGCCTCCATGTCGGTGGTCTTGATGGTTAGCTTTCCCTGCTTTGCGCTCCCAGTAACACTGCGGTCGATCTGGATCTCAACGACTTCTCCCTCCATGATTTCGCTCTCCTCCTTTATTCGGACACCGATGGACTTTCGGAAGGCTTGGGTAAGGGCCTCGGTCTTGGACATTTCGAGCGAAAAGATTTCTGATGAGGCAAGTGTTGTGAAAGGAACGTCGGGGCCTAGAGACTGAGCCATACCCATGGCGATGGCAGTCTTTCCTGTGCTTCACATGTGTCAATGCGCGCAGTACGGTAATGGTGATTGGAAGCATACCTAGGAGGTCCAGCAATGAGAACAGCACGGCCAGCAATCTTTCCATCCTTGATCATCTGCAAGATGACAGCAGCAGCCTTTCGCGCCTTCTCCTGTCCAACGAGACCTTGAGAAGAAGCTCGAGGCTCAAGGGTTGTTGCATCCACACCAAGACCTCGAATGTGGGAGTGTGCTGCGATCAGGTTCAGACCCCGAAGGTCCTTGGACTCTGACACGGTCATCACAGGCTGTGAAATTTACTGTAAGCAATTGGTTGCGCGGAAGGTGCGAGTAAATTCTACTTACAGCAGCCATCTTGTCGCGTGTTATGCGCGAGTGTAACGTGAGCAATCGTTATGGAATTGAGTTGTGAGGCAACGACTTTGATGAAAGAAAGCTTGAAGAACAGGGCTGGGAGCTAGATCGCGACAGCTGCAAGAGCCTGCGCATAACTTTCGAGTAAAAATTGTTAGTGCGCGGCTATCGCTTAGCGCTTAGCGCCATGTGCTCGATGCGCACCGCCACATTAGTGATCCACTCCCATGAAATCAATCCATGTGACTCCACAACTCGGTACTGTGCTGCATGGATGTGATTACATTGGATGCGAGTACTCCGTACCTACCTGAGAGATCCATTCAGCTCGAGCTGCTGGAGCAACTAGTTAAGGCAAAAGGTTTATATTATAACATCTCCTTGAGTCCTCAAGCTTCCACAAGGAGCCAAATAGTTGAGTCATCTAGTAAATAATTATTCGTAGAAGCTACCTTGTTCACCTACCTAGATAACTTGGCCCCTATACTGTTCTTTGTTTTATGTTGTCCCCTACTGCATGACGAGAACAGAGGATGCTTCCCCTCCACTTTATAGGGACTAAAATCATTAGTGTCAATTATCTGGGGCCAACCGCTCTTCTTTCTTGGATGAGTCTAGACCCTGATAGCCTAGGTGGTGATTCAGCGAGGATTAGGGGTCTATATTTAATAACTGAGGTGCCCCAAATACTCCATAACTATTTGATGAATTCAACCGTGACTACCTACCTACCTACTAACATTATATGATGATAATCCACACGAACTGAACTCCACACTGCGTAGCCCTGGTCTTGTTGTAACAGATACCTCATTAGTTAGTTGGTCCTTTTCAGGTCTTTTCCTGGTTTTTCTTTCTCTTCATGAACCGGCTAACTACCTTACCTTAACATCCGTGCTCCCGCTTTTGTGTCGCCTCGCATTGCTTTTTCCCTCTTCTCTCTTCTTCCATCCTCGTTCGTTCAATGCACACGCTCTTATTTTCCTCTCTGTCCCCCCTCTCACTCCTTTTGTTCTTTCTCCAAACCGAGGCTCTCTAACTCTCCTTTGTTTTTTTTTATTAGGCGTTGCCACACTCTCTCTAGGTACTCACACACCCAGCCGATTCATCGACGCGATTGCCTCCCGCCGTACTCAACTATTTGTCCAACCACCACCCAACTCAGTACCTATTTGGCCCTGTGTCCCATTGGTACAAAGTACTACCTCCTTAGCGCAGTCCTTATTCGGTCCCCTTAATTCCTCCGGTCGCATACCGTCCTCAGCGATACCCTCTCGCCCTCCTCCTTGGGCCATTTTCGATTCGTAACCCGGCGCACGGCATTTGTCCTGTCTCGAATCCTTTACCCATCATTTCGACGGATGCTTAAGGCTCCATTTCACTACCAGAGCCGCAATGGCTGGTAGAGACGATCGGTACGGTCGCCGACCAGCCGCTAGCTCACCTTCAGAATTGTTTCCGGAACGCTTCTCACACCGCCGAGATGAATCGTCTCATTCCAGAGATGCAGACTATGATCGAGGGAGGGGTGATGGGAAAGTGGCAGCATTGCCTTACGGTAAATATAGCAAACCACCTCTCGAAAGATCTTCTTCCAGGAGGTCAACGAATGCCAGTGATCGCGGTAAGAGCGCAAGTCTTGGCAAAGAACACGACCGGAGTATCGCTGACATATGCCATTTAGGCTCAATATCGACCGCTACGGCCGAGCCGCGCGCCACGAAAGTTGAACGCCTGCCACTTCTAATAGACCTGCTCGGCGATGCAGCCTATCTGCGCATACAGCACAACCAAGCTGATAGCAAGCTTAAGAAAATATGGGCTGACTGGAAACGCTCGACTACTAAAGCTTCTGAATATCCTTCGGTTGACGAGATGCAGCGTCAGGCTGTCCAAAAATCCGAGAACGAGAAGAACAATCTTAAGCAAAAACTCAAAGAGCTCCACCCAACGCTTTATGATACTTTCGATTCGTTATTGAAGCAATACGTGCAAGATCAGTCTTCCATAGGACCCAACACCCAAGCAGACTCTTCCCTGACCAAGCCACAGGGCTCCCCTGCCGAGCTTCAGGCACAATCACTGGAACCGCACCAGCCAACCAAGGCATGGATGGAAGATTGCTTACAAACTGAGCTGAACAAGTTCAAAAACTCCTTACCAGTCGCTCAGGGGCCAGATAATAGCGAGATCCAGAAACTGGTCGACAGCCTTGAGAACGAGAAGAAAAAAACCCAACTTCTGGAGAATAAAGTCGAAGAAGGTCGACAGCAACACCAATTGTTGGAGGAGAAGCTCAGCCGGCTCGAGCAGAAGCTCGATGGCGTCAGCACCACGATGGAAGAAAGGATAGCCGCCAACAAGAGCGGACCAACTACCTCTGCAACCTCTGCCGAGCATAACCAGCTCAAGTCAACGGTTGAAATGCAGGGACGCACCCTAAACTTTGTCAAAAAACAGTCTGATCCCATAAAGATACAGAAGCTCCAGCAAGAGACAGAAAATCTTGCGGACAGGCTCACGAAAGGCATTAAATCTGTCAAGTCGCTCCATGAGCAGAATTCCGCTCTTATCGAAAAGCAAGGGGAAAAGCATAAATCCTTAGAAAACGACATATCGTCCTTACAAACTACCTCTCGGAACCAGGATGTCAAGCAAAAATCCCTTGAAAGGGATATATCATTGGTGCGGAGCACATCTGATAATCAGGGCGCAAAGCAGACTTCTTTAGAAAAGCATATATTGTCCTTGCAAAAAACCTCTGAAGGTCATGAGGCAAAGCAAATGTCCATTGAAAAAGACATTTCGCTTTTACAATGCACATGTCAAAGCCAGGGAGAACAGCAAAAGATAGTTGATGATGTCGTTTCCGGCATAAAATCAGCTGTAGAGAGTCTCTCACAAAAAGGGGAATCTTTAGCTGAAGATATCGCTTCTCTGCGATCATCTGTGAAACAAATACAAGAGGCCCATGGGTCTCAGGAGGCGCGCCTGTCGACGCTTACCTCTCTAAAGCCGCTGGTTAAGGAAGTTAAGGAACAGCAAAAGAAGGCCAACGTTCTGCAGCAGAGCGTCGACGCTCTACAGGCCAGTGCCGCCGACTGGTCATTGCAAGACTTCCAAAATCTTAAGGCCAAAGTCCAGGGGTATCCGCCTGCAGATGAAGTTCAGCAGCTTCTTGTTGAATTTCCATCTCTCGTGGACACCAAGCGGCTGCTTGCCAAATACCCACCTTCTAGCGATCTTAAGCGGCTACTTGAAGAACTGCCGCCTTCCAGCGACATAAGGCGTCTCCTGGATGAATGTCCATCTCCCGCGGATGTGAAACGCCGCCTTGAAGAACTGCCACCGAGTGATGAGCTTAAGCAACTTGTTAGGGACGTTCCAAAGTTAAGGGAATCTATGTCGGAAGTCAATGCGCGGTCTTCTAGACTTCCTACGCCTACATCCACTCCTGCATTCATGACGAAGGAGATGACGTTGCAACTGATCACTCCCAAGATGGATAGACTGGAAGATGCATTAAAGCGTCGCTGTGCGGATATGATCCAGATATCCTCTGGGTTAGTTGCCGAGACTGTTGACCAGGCAAACGCCCGTACATTGAAGTCAGAGGGAGCTATCCAGGCACTTGATGTACGTGTAACAGGTTTGAAGCGAAGCGTGGATGAGAACAAGAAGGAGTTCGATGCGCATGTCACAACGTTAAGGCGAATTGCAGATGAAAACAAGAAGTTGGATCAGCAAATCACAGAGTTGAACCAATCCGTCAGCGAAAACAAGGTGGAAATGTATGACATGAATAACGACATGGAAAAACGCCTTGAAGAAGAGAGCACTGAACTTAAGTCAGTGAAGGGCATGGTTGCTGTGATGACCCAGGACGTTGAAAAGGTGCGCAAGGACTCAAGGACTGGGATCGATGATATCCAGTTCCAGCTGGTCCAGATGACGGACTGGGCGAAGAATTTCAGCTCCAAGCAGTGGCATGACAGTGTCGCTCAACAAATCGCTGCCTATGTGCCAGCTCAGTTTGCGGGACAATTGGATAGCCTGGCTACCAGGGTCAGTCATCTTGAGACCGGAAGTCACAATTCGCCAGAGATCTCGAGCAAGAGACGCAAAGGAGCAAATGGGAACCCTCTGGTTGTCAACGGGCTCCATTGAGCAAAGACTTGGCTCAGAGGTGCTGTATGGAACATGTTGGTCAGTTGAAAACTTTTGTCTGTATAACTGATTTCTCGTACGGGCTGGGTCTTGATTAGAGAACCAGGGTGTTACTTTTTTGGCATCAATTGAAATATGTGGAGGAGAGAGATAACGGTGGCAAGGCAGCATTATACCCTTACGGATCCGGCGTTTTATGCATTATTATCAGGAGAAAATATATTCATGGATTCACTTATAGTATAACATTGGCTTGTGTGAACCTCAATTCCGTTATGTTGACAGGCATATCCCAAACTTGAATACACAGTGACAATTATCCAGCAACAACAGAAACCCCGGGCTAATGCTTGGCGGGTAACTAGTTGTTTGCTCGTCACGAATAGTGTACTAGTATGTTGTGGAAGACGTCGAGGATTTGAAGGTGGGTTCAGAGAGTGTCTAGCTACTAAGTTAAGGTACTAGGTCTTATATAAGGTGCGGGGGTATGGAAGATACCTGATACCTTACTGTTGCACAGCTTTAGCTTGTAGGTGGTTGATCAAGTTGCTGTATACTCCGTGTTTAATTTAATAAGTCATAACTAGATATCTAGGTGCCAAGTATCTATTAGTTAATATATACCTTTTATAGATAATATTTTAAATATAAAGTAATACTTTCTATTATATTTTAAATTAACTTTTTTTTAAAAAAAAAATTCATTATACTATATAACTCAGGCTTTTATAAGTCTTAAAACTGGGTTTAATACTGAAATAATAAAATGTTAATTAATGCTTATCCTATAAGCGCATGCAGCTAGAAGAAACAGGGCCCAGGAACCAGCCAGACCAAGACATGGACAAAACTGCTTTAATATTAGCCACAAAAACCTAAAACATGAGGGGAAGGCATTAGAGCAGCCACAAACGGACGTGTCTCTCTAGGGGAGAATGGATCAAGAGCAGTAAGAGAAGAACATGAAACTGTGAAGTGACGGACGGGACGGACGGGAATGAAGCCCGCCTACTAGGTCAGTAGGTAGGTACTCTAGTAGTTGCCTTAGGTACTACTGAATGGGATTCATGTACAACAGAGCAAGGTCTCGCTCTTTTTTAAGGTAAGGTAGGTACCTACTTCTTGCTCCACCACGGATCGTCACTGCTAAGGCTGGTCGGGTGGTTCTTTCCTTTCCTGACCGCTGTCAACTGCCACATAACGTCAGCGAGATGAGGTATCTGCCACTGCCACTGCAACTGCATGTGCAACTGCCACTGTCACTGTCACTGTCTGGCCTTGCCTGTTTGAGGTGGGCTGCCACTGCAATGGGAAATCTCAAACATCAAATCCCGACTAATAAAACCAAGACCCTACCAACTTAGATCCCGGCCTACACGTACGTTTGGTACCTTTTAGCCTCAGCAACAAGAAGGGAAAAGAAGAGAGACACGCTCACGCGCTTCAAGCTTAACTCATTTATTTCTCTGCTTCCTAGCCCGATTCTCGCTTTATTCGGCCCTAATGGCATAATAAACATCACCGCTCTCTTTGTCAATCCGATTCACCGGGGCCTGGACAGAGCTTCAGGGCTCCGATCCACCGCCGCTTTGTTGTTTCGTCTCCAGCCAGCGCGCTAACACTCTCCAATCTTCCCTTATCGTGTGCGACTGGGTCACTTTCCATGCCTTGTCGCTCGGCATCAACCACCACCACTATCAGCCACCATCACATCGCGACAACCCTGCCAATCGGTCGTGAATGACGCATGATTTGAGCATCCTCCATTTTCAGGGACTCGCACTACTTTAAAGATCTTTATCCCATTTGTGTTTTTCCTCAGCGTTTCCATCGTCGCGTTCTCGGCCTCCCTGCGTACCCCTCGCGCGCGTCACCTGCGATCGCCAAACCTCGTACCGCACCGCATCGCAACCGTACTGCACAGCATCGCACCACACCCCCGTCTTCGTCCTTCCGGCATGCCGACATCCATGAACAATGGAAGCCGCGGCGAAGACGGTTCAGCAGCTCACACAGCGCATCCTGCCCGAGAAACCACATCATCTCTCTTACTCCCCCGACTGGCGATATCACATCCCCGCCAGCGAGTCCCGACAGAAGCATCCTGAGGAATGGGATACTACTCGCTTGCAATATTCAACTCTCGTGTCGGAAGCCGATCGCGGTGTACTCCTTACTAGATCCTACTACGACATGCGTGTCGAGCCTCCTAAGCCCGTCCCTCGCGACGTGGGCATTCTCGCAAAAGGCGGCGAGAAGAAGAAGCTGTCACTCAGTGACTACAAGAACAAAAAGACGTCTGGTGTGACCTCGGATGCCTCCACCCCAGAACCACCCAGCGCCAAAAAGCGCGACCTTGAGCGCGCATCTGCAGAGCCAAGATCTGTACCCGAGATCAGGAAGCCCGATTCACAACGACAAAAGGATCAGCACCCCGATACCAAATCACAAAAGTCCAGGGAACTTCCAGTTGTTGATATGAGGTAAGATGCGGCTTTGAATGTCCCATGATTGCCTGGGTGATGTCGCTCCCATACTGACTCTGCTCCAGGCTACCCCCTAAACCGCCCGCATCCCTTCCACCTCGTCCCGTATCACCAGATAGCAGAAAACGTGCACCGAACGTCGAAGATGACCACAGGTCCCAAAAACGACACAGGCCGGACATGCCTCGCTCTCACGATGATCGATCGCGACCAGGCCGCGATGAACCCCCTCGTAGAAAGGATAGAGATTCTCTGGCGCCATCTGATATTCCACCAAGGGACAAGCCTACCAGCTCATCCTCGCTTCCCAATGGACGTAGTATATTGAAGAGTACCAGCACCTCCGCTCGCAATCCTTCTCCGGCTGGCCGCGTACGTGGCGACTCTGTCAATGGTGTTCGACCTGGCGCATCGGGGAGCACGAAGGGAACGCCAAATAAGATAGATAATGCTTCGCGGTCGTCCGTGCCCCCGCTACTGTCGCCTCTTCACTTAAGCTGGGACAGCCAAAACTCAACGGACAAAGGCGACAGGAGACGGGTTCGTGAGGACGCTGCGGATGCCGCCAAAGCAACGAAACCGAAGAAGCTGGACCCACCACCAGCATCGAAGACAAAGAACGATGCAACCAGAGAAAGATCTCCAATTCGCTTACCTGCGCTCCTATCTCCCACATTACCGAGCTCCCTGGAGGCTGAGCTATCGCGGAGAAAGGTTTCAACGAAAGCAACGGAGTCCAAGACCCAAGATGACCGAGAAAAGGATGAGCCGCGCGAGAAGCGTTCTGAGGAAAGCCACAAGTCATCAACGGCGAGGAAAGCGCCTGTCGAGCATGAAGAAGAGGAGGACGGAGAGGGTGGAGAGGGTGGAGAGGAGCAGGATGGTGATGCTCACAGTACCAAAGAAAAGAAACGGCTGATCGTAACTCTACGAATATCCAAGAGAATGCGGCAAACGCTCAAGCGTATCCTGGCCTTACCTTCTAAGCGCAGAGAGCGGTCTGAAAGCATGGAGGCGCCGTCTATCAGTCAGGCGAAGAAGCGCCCTGCGCCGTCAGACAACACTGGCGATACAATAGCTGTCAAAAGACCTCGAATGCCTTCGGTTTCTGCCAGTCTCCCACCACCATCGACTCCCTCTAAAAAGGGTGCAGCCATGTCCCGAGTCAGTTCCAGCAACTCGCAGGCTCACACACCCGGCGACTCGTTCACCGTGACACCTGTACCTGTTGGGTCATCAGATCGGCCAACCACCAATGGCACAGATGCCGCTCGTGACAAGGCCGATCCGCGGGCCATTTTTGATAAACACACACGATTTTCTACCTTAGGTCGGCGACTGAAGCATGAGGGCGATGTCGCTAATCAGCGGTTTAACAAGCTTTCGAGTAGTGGCGACAAACGAGGGGCCGATTCCAGTCGCAAACAATATTACGCACTCGCCGTGGAGAGCACTGTTGCATTCATGGCGAGCTTCTACCTTCTTAACGTCAGTCGAAATTTACAAAACAAACCATCTGATCCGGGCTCTTGGGCCAGCCTGATCAAGATGCTGGATTATCTAACAAACGAGACACGCCGTGACTCGCGGCGAAGCCAACCCATGTATGCTCTTATCTTGATTCTACAAGCCATCACTGTGGATGAATTCCTCAAGGCATCTGCCAACTACGAGAATATCTCTAAGGAGGAGCTCTTTGCACACCAGTCGACTCGTTATCGGAATTGGCCCGCGGTTCACAGCATTTACGATGGCATTGGAAGCTCTCGTCTTCGAGCTGACATTGCGCCCTGGTCGACTGTCGAGGAAGTTTGCCAAGCGTCGATGCGTGTTGTTCGGCACTGGTGCCAGGAGGAGAATGTCCAGTGGTCACCGGAGTTTGATCCTAATGAAGCCAGCATTAGGGTTGCCCGGTAATGAGGCCATTTTCCCTTGTCCTGTCACGTACATGATCATCGAATAATCTTTTGGGCTTACGCTAATATCAAGATCACTGACGAAAGAATGGATTATGCGGCATCCCACATTCATGAGTCATCGATAGGCCAAAACCGAAAAACTCACCATAAACCAGTGTAGTAGCATCTACGACAACACTGGGAGCGCGCCATAGAAGACATCCAGTTGAAACGAAGCTCGAGTTAAGCGAGATGATTTCGCATTGTGCACATCTCATCACATGTGCTTATTACTGAACTCGAGGTCGAGTTTGCACATTGCCTCCTGACCTGCCACCCTGCTGAGGAGCGTGGCAAGGACCAATGTTACTTCTTTTGCTTGTACTATGATATCCCCGGGTCAAAACGGATAGCGATCAATTTTCATCTCTTCACGCCTCGGGCGTCGCGGGTGCGGTCATGACATGACATTTCTCATCTTCTTTTCTATCATTGTACTCTATGGCTGAAAAGGGGTTGCTTTCCGAGAAAGACAACGGATAATGAGACGAGGGAGTCAAAGGAGCATCTGGCGAAAAAGAAAAAGGGAACAGCAAAGGGCGTGTTTACAGGGAAATACCATTTCGTAAGGTATGCATACACATACATACATACATTCACACATAAATGCGTGCATGTCCCAGCATGGAACGAAAATAAAGGACTTGAACTCAATAGCTTGACGCATAGACCTGACACTGTCGAGATCGATGCCAGAAAGAACCACTTAAGCCGATATCGTGAACTACCCAGATACTGGTATATGAGTTGCATGCCGCGGATGGGTTTAACCATGCTGTAGTTGCAGGAAGTCCTGGCTTAGCCGATGGTGTTGATGAGTTAGCAATTTAGGAGGAGAGAAAACTCAGGACCTTGATCCTGAATAAATAAAGACTTATTTAGGTAACTGAGCATAAGCTTGCGGTACCTTTTGCTAAGTTTATTTCAACGGCCTATGTCAAGATCTGATATTTCTTGTTTCCAGTGGACCCACGAAGAAACTTACATAGGTAGCTTAAGTCGCCAGGCTGGCCATGGGCAAAAAAATACATCAGATAGACATGAACGGTTTTCAAGAGGGATGGATCTATTTATGTATTTTTTCTGTCCACGGCTATACTAAGATCAATTGTCTAGTAGGGAACTGGAGCCGATGAGAACAAAGTCGTTGTCATCCCCTCCGACAATCTCCCTTAATTTTGGTATTTTTACTTCCTTTCATTTCTTTGCTTCATTAAAACACGCGGCAGACTGGCATCGTCATCATGTCGCGTCTGATTAGGTTTGGTTTTGCTTCCAGCCTCTTGAGCGCTCTACGCTTACTTGGAGGCATCGACCTTGGCAACGTGGGCCAGGAGGTCGAGGACACGGCGGGAGTAACCCCACTCGTTGTCGTACCAGGAGACCAGCTTGACGAAGTTGTCGTTGAGAGAGATACCGGCCTTGGCATCGAAGATGGAGGAGTTTGTGTTGCCGTTGAGATCGGAGGAGACAACATCGTCCTCAGTGTAGGCCAGAACGCCCTTGAGGTCACCCTCAGAGGCCTCCTTGATGACCTTCTTGATCTGGTCGTAAGAAGCACCCTTCTCAAGGCGGACAGTAAGATCGACAACGGAAACGTTGGCGGTAGGGACACGCATGGACATGCCAGTGAGCTTGCCGTTGAGCTCAGGAATGACCTTGCCGACAGCCTTGGCGGCACCAGTGCTGGAGGGGATGATGTTCTGGGCAGCGCCACGGCCACCTCGCCAGTCCTTGGCGGAGGGACCATCGACGGTCTTCTGGGTAGCAGTGTAGGAGTGGACAGTGGTCATGAGACCCTCAACGATACCAAACTTGTCGTTGATGACCTTGGCGAGGGGAGCCAGGCAGTTGGTGGTGCAAGAGGCGTTGGAGATGATGTCGGCAGAGCCGTCGTACTTGTTCTCATTGACACCGACGACGTACATGGGAGCGTCGGCGGAGGGGGCAGAGATGATGACCTTCTTGGCACCACCAGCAAGATGGGCCTTGGCCTTGTCAATGGTGGTGAAGACACCAGTAGACTCGACGACGTAGTCGGCGCCGGTCTCGGACCACTTGATGTTGGCGGGGTCGCGCTCAGAGTAGAACTTGACAGTCTTGCCGTTGACGACAAGGTCGTTACCATCGTTGCCGACCTCACCCTTGAAGATACCGTGGGAAGAGTCGTACTTGAGCATGTAGACCTGCGTAGGGGAGTTGACGTTAGCTTGAGGCTCAAAACTGAATGTGATATTGTATGGGGCGTGGGGCAGTGAGGGGTAGCTTGGTGGGACATGAAGCATTGCTCGCTAGTACTATGACATGACATGAAGATGGTGACATCAATTACATCTCCCGGCATAATGGGTATTATGGACGATATTGTGCGGTGACTTGCAAGCTCCAGTTGAATCGAAACGCGCGTTTAAACGGTCGTGGCAAAGCGACAAGCTCCCGAGTAGTGGATTGTAGGGTTGTTGAAGTATCGAACGAGTTCGCAGGGGGTCTACTTACGGCGTAGTGAGGCTCAATGAAAGGATCGTTGACAGCAACAACCTCGATGTCGGGGTGCTCGACGGCGTTGCGGAAGACGATACGGCCGATACGACCGAAACCGTTGATGCCGACCTTGATGGGAGCCATTTTGATTATTGTAGAAAAAATGGTAGTTTCTGTTTAGGCAAGAGAGTCAGATGAGATATCTTTAACTAGGAAGAAGATGGATGAAGTGAGATGGAGAGAAGAGAAGAGCTGGAGGGAAGGTTGAGGTTGAGGTGAGGGGGTGGGGTAATTTATATCTGTATGACGGAGGTTGAGTGGAACGGGAAGCTTTTTTGCTGAGGAAGGTTGCCACAGCACAGGGAAAGAGCAAGTGGAAGTGTGTGTGGACTGGAATTGGAATTGGAACGTCGGTGCAAATGGAAGGAGGGGCAAGCAGATGAGGCTAGAGAGACCTGGGAGGGAGAGGGAGAGGCAGAGAGGAGAGTAGAGCTCTGTAACTCAGAGCTCGATGCCCTGAAAGAGGTTTCTATCCCTCTCCCTCCCGCCCTCCAGTCTGTCTGTCCCCTCTCTGTAGCAACACCAATGCCATGCCCGTGTGATCCATGCCAATCGGTGCCAACCAATCCATCACCCATATCGATTGACGTGTCGTCGTATCGTCTTCTCATTATGTTGGGTCGAATGCAGACATGATATGACATGACAATCTGTTTTGCTGGTGGAGAGGCAAGAGGAGAAGTTGAGAGGCAAAGCAATGCATCATCATCATCATGTTATGATACTGATGCGTCGTGATGGTGGTGGTGATGGAGATAGAGGGGTAAATTGTTCACATACCAAGAGGTTTGTAGTGGAAGTTGTTGCTATGAAGCTGAGGATGATGAGAATGAAAGGAAAGAGAAGAGAAGAGAAGAGCAGCAGGAGTGGGAGTGCAGCTACATATATGAATTCCCGGACATTGGATTGCCTTACCTTACCTTATTCACTCATGCTCTACTCTACTCTCTCATCAGAATATGCTCTGCTCTGCCATTAGCAACCAACCCACTTTAGACCACCAACACCACATCATCAATCATCCCACGAACGTACCCCCCTGTTGCCCGGGGGGTACATAGTACAGTGCCTACTAGTGTATCATAACAGCAGAGGCCAATGGAACATTCAGTATCGGATCAGAGGGTGGGAGCTCTTTTTTTTTTTTTTCTCACTCACTACCTAAAGTAGGTAACCTAACGTTAGCTCAGCCAAGGCCATCATGACCAAGTCACAGCCTTGTTCCTGGGTATAACTCTACTTCCTAGGTAGTTAAGGTATTACATTCTTGCTCTGGACTTACAAATCCATATCCATAATACCATAGATAGCAACTATCACCATCTCTACTTGACGTCTTGGGCACTGCCCACTCAGCTTCATCATGTCTCAGACCCCACCACTACCTACCTAACCTAACCTTTGCATGGTGATGAGAGCTTCGTGGTGGGGTGATGCCCTGAAAAGCTACCTCCCTGCAATATGCCCCTCCCTCTCAAAACCATGTATCTTTTCTGCCCCTCCATGCATGAGGTGAGGTGCCCAGTTAGCCAGTCTAGGTACCAGTGCCACTCTCTGTTGATTCCATCGCGCGTCCACGTCCACGTCCACGTCCACGTTCATCCTTGATATTTTTGTAGGTGCCGCCGAACAAGGCACCGCATTCTACCGTGCAACTCTCCGTGATAGATAGCAATTCGATGGTTAATTATCCAAGGAATGCGTCACTTGTCGATCAGATGTTTTCACACAATCCCATCTCTCTCCGGAGCCTCCGGTTATAGTGGACTGGACATGAACGCCTCATCATCTTGGGCTAGGTACGATGAGATCTGTAAGTTTTACGCCGCAAAGTTGTAATGCAATGCAATCCCTGGCTTCCCTATTTGCCGCCATATTATCCATTCTCACTTTGCCAACCCATAGTATGCTTCTATCTTGGTTTCATCGTTGACGGCTGCCGCCGCCGCCGCCGCCGATGAGTATGCACGTCCCTCGACATATTGAAAGCTCGGTTCGCCTTGTTCACCGATCACAAACGAGTCGTACGGTTCCGGGTCGAGTCCTCGCTACAGGTAATTATCGTATGAATCCAATCCTTTGTGAACGTGTCTTGTTTCTCTCTCGTCTTTCGATATGCTTCGGCCTCTACCTATCTCCACGACAAATGTTTTTAATTTCCTATTTACGTATCCAATGCTTTTGCCCACTTATACCGGAGTCACCTTAATTGAGCTAGAAGCTTCACCACCAAGACGGTGACACTGAATGAGGCTTAGTACCTGATCTTCGCTCGAACCTAGCTGCGGGTTTTTACAGCTTGTGTTGCGTCTTTTACGCAATGTGGCGGGGCTGTACGGAGTACGTTCTCGGTCTTTGAGTCGCGGGGGGTTTTGTTCAGTCACAGTATTGACTCGATATCAATATGTAAACATGATATAATACAATTAGAACAACATGTTGCAGCCCATCATATCAGTTGCTATAGCTCAGAGATACGGTATCTTTGCCAACTTGATCTAGACGTGTCTGTCTCCCAAGTCTTAGCAATAGGGTAGCCAATGTTGACCTGATGCTGTTTCACGCTATACTGTTGTCCCTCACGTCTCTGACGGTGAGCTAACAATCGTTGAGAGGTATCATGATGGAACAAAAACAGCTCAACTAAACTCACTCAGTCCAGCCCAGCTCAATCATGGACTCACCGAAAATAGGGCCTCTGTCGGCCCGTTGGTAGGCCACGAGCTTTCGCGGACCGACTATATTCGCTTCTCCTTACGCTCTCGTTCTTGACTACCTTACATCACATCAGATCAGACCAGTCCATGCCGTCTGTAGTAATGTCAATTCCATCGCCAAAACGAAATCCGCTTATCTGACATCTGGCCTTTGTCGAGACCCCTGGGTGTGTCCAGCATCTATTTCCAATCACCAAAAATAGAGACCCTGAATCTGCCAGAGCCCTATCATATCGTGCCTACGATTCCACAAAACCGCAGACCCTTATGGTCTCATATTCCTTGATACTGTATGTATACATCTTGAAATCTCACCGAGATTCCTCACCTGAGATCGAACCTCTCCTGACCTGCGTCCACCTGGGCTGACCGAACCCCTGCCCTGTCTTTTCATATCCTCCACCATGATCCTTGAGCGAATCCAGTGCTAATCTGACCTGGACCTGGACTAGCTACATACAGTTCAGCACATCCTAACATACGTGTACATACCTACATACGCATTGCAATATCAGTTCATGATATCGACCCTTCTAGCATTACTCGAATCACCCAATACTACTGATGACACCAATGCCGAGATACCTTGATCGACATGATTTCAGGGCCAAGCCCACATAGACTCTCATCATGTTACGTACGAAAACTCGTCGTCGAATAGATCCCGAACCCTTACAATTCACTTACATACTGAGATGCAACTTCTGACATACATCATTCCCGAACAATCCCTGCTCCTCCGATCTAGCCCGTTTGTCTCCGGGAGTCAACCTCCTGCTCCCTCGGTGCTTGACCGTTCGGCTACGGCTGCCGCCCCGGCTCCCGCTCCACGTACCGGAGCATCACGGGATCACGGGCTTGGATCGGCTCAAGCCTCGCATGCCAGGGCGCATGGTAGGTTCCAACCTCGTCCGTCCCTCCGTATAACCCCATACAACCCCATCATTCTCCCCAGATGTCTCCATTATCTTACTCCATACTCCCTGCCCCGGCTTTTCAGCCTCTTTTTCGAGATTCCACTCGCCCGGCCTCACCCGTTCCCGGCGCACTTCGGGATCCCCAGGAACGACCTGCCACATTATGTCCTACCATGTCCATCTATCCTGGGTCTTTCCAACCCTTTGATGGTCTTTTTGGCATTTAGCCTCCCTCTTTCGCCATCTTCCCGCGGCACCATCATGCACCATCATGATTCTCGACCATTGACCGTTATGGAAACCTATCCCAGTCAGCGGCCAAGCCTCGTCGGGTCCTCATGATCTTCGCCCACTTCCTAGGACCAAGGTGCAGATAAAGTGGCCATCTAAGATAACTTGATTTTCAACACTGTCTTCAGATTCGGAGCCACAGACCCGAAGCTATCTGTGCTATGCAGTCTTTCCCATGCATGCTGTAAGTACTTGACGTGAAACGGGATCCACTCACCATCATGTCCGGGTTTGAACGCCCACTTACAGCCCGTTTTGTTCTTGGCCCTGTACGCACATATGACTGGTTGTAAGAGCATCCATACACAAGAACATGAGCCAGCGGATGTCCATCTCCGGAACATGGGAAAGACCGCCGCAGGTGCCCTTTTGAGCTGAGACTCGGTCGTTGCCAATCATTCTGCGATAGAGACAAGGGCCGGACCACACCAGATATCTGTTCAGCCCGCACTACCTTAAGTTTGTTTCTCGGCTGATATCCCGTCCCGTTGTAATGCCTTCACTCAAAAGCATTGACATGTAAAGACCACTCGCGGCCCTCCTCAGCCGCTCGGAACTCGACCGCGCCCTCTGGGAAGTACCCAGCATCCTTCCACGCCTTCATTGTGGCCCCGTCATATGGCCCTTGACTGTCGTTTCCATCGCGTCCATCGCGTCCATCTATCCATCGGAACTCCCACATTGTTCCCGGCTTCACCGCTGCCTGCTCATCCTGGGTTGTCTGTGAAGCTTCTGGCTCCACCCAATCCTCTCCTGTCTCCTTGCGATATTCTCGGACGAGGAGCTCTCTCTCTTGTTCGTAAATCTCCTCATGATCCCGGCTTAACAGCTTATCTGCAGCTTCTGTGATGGCATCAATCGATGCCTTGATCTTCTTTTGCTCCACATCCTCAATGTTCTCACCGCCATCAACCTCCATGCCTTCAGCACCCTTATTCATCTTCTTGAGCTTCCACTTCGGGATCTTTTTGGGCTTTGTTTGCTTTTTGCCGAGTCGGGCTAGAGCCTCGAGTGGCGTCTCAGCGCGCTCGAGATTGAGTATCAGAGTCTTGAGCAAATCTGACACGAGGACCTCGTCGTCCTCTAGGCGCTGCTTTCGTGCCTCAGCCTCGCGCTTCTCATGCGCGGCGGCTGCCTTTCTCATCTCCTTCTTGCTGAGACCTTCCAACCAGTTGTCGTGTACGGCATCAGGGTCGCCACCTTTGCGAACGTAGTTGCCATCCTGGTCGAATTGACCCTCTTCCATTTCTTGCTTCAGGTTGAATGCTTCGACTTTGGGTGCGTTCTTCTTGAGACCACCAGCGCCAACCTCTTCATCGATGCCCTCTTCTTGTATGGCTAGGTCTACATCTGCCTCGTCGTCGCTGCTTTCATCGTCGAGCCGGATGCCCCCCTTGTCTCTGCTGGTGTTCTCCACGCCCTCGATTTTATCCGCATCTAGGAATCGGACTTTGTCCTTCTTGCGACCATTCTTATCGAAGTCTCCCTCCTCGGGAACCTCTTCTTCCCCATCAGCATCGTCCGCAGCAAACATGTCATCGTCGTCATCATTACCAGCCGCAGTACCCGGAGCTGCAGGGTCAGGATTGGTGGCGTCGTAATTATCGAGCTGTGCAAGAATGTCGACTTTCCCTCGCTTGCGATTCTCGGCGCGTGCATTGAAGGTTTCGTTATCTGAATCACTATCATAGCCATCGATGTTGACAGCTCCACGCTTCGTAGCTCCAGATACACCAATGACATCGGCATCGAGAATAGCATCTTCTTCGCGCGCGTCAGGCGCAAGCGTGGAGGGATTTCGCACGTCAAACTTGACTCTCTTAGAATCGCCGCCGTCTTCGTTGTGATGGGTACGCGCAAAGTTCTCGCCGTCGCGCTTCGGGCGCGCTGCCGAATATCGAGACGCCATGACCACTATTTATTGATCCGTTGAATGCAAAGAATATGAGAATTGGCTCGGTAGTAGTCAAAGTGAGGATTGCTTGAATTGGAAACGCAAGGTGAAATGACGAAGAAAGCTTGATAGAGCTTATATGTATGTTTCAAACTTCTGAGCATGGGTTCCAGGACTCGCTATTCTGGTTGGGGCAATCAGCTCCACTGCGCTGATGTTAGTTGACAGGTACCTGAACTTAGGAGGACATTCAGTGCCTTGCCAAGTACCCGGCTTAAAAAGATAATGCCCAGTACGCAATCACACGGCTTTAAATCCAGTATTATATGTGTTTAACTGCTTGTTAGAGTCTTATTGAGTTTGGAATTAAATGTTTTAAAAACAAGCGAGGTGCCTGATCAAACTACCTAGGTAGTATAGCACTGTACTATGGAGTACCTACCTACCCCGTAGGTTAGTACCTAGTGTCCTTGCCCGAGTCCCTGACAAACCAAACTGCGTCATCAAGAGCTGCCTCTGTAGCCTCCACACGCCCCACGTTACCTGTGGCTTTGGACCTTCAACGAACATTGATGGAAGCTCACCCTGTAAACATTTCAACCTCGCAACTGTGAATCACTGCCCTTCTCCCTCTGAATACTTAAGACACACGGTTCTTGTCAGCAGCGTGAGAAAACAGAGCATATTTTCAAGGCAGCCGATTTACTTCCTGACCGCCTACATCTTCTTCAAGTCCTGCACCTCCGAGATCTCTAAATCGACTGCGTACCAACAAACTATTGTCGCCATGGTAAGCCATCCTGCCCGGTCTTATGATTTGGTTCGCTAAGAGGTATTTAGTATTCAGGCTTCGGCGGTGGGTTTGATCCCGCTAACCCCGACCACCTCTACAACATGGCCCGCCACGGACGACGACCCATTGTGCAACGGTTCGACGAGTACTACCGATGCTATCCTCTAGTCATGGCCCCCGGAGCTGAACGACCAGAACTCAACTACGGCTCCAAGATCATTCTACCACCATCCGCTCTCGACAAGGTGTCTAAGCTCCATGTGCAGTGGCCTCTGCTCATGGAGCTGATCAACGGAGAGAAAGGCAGACACTCCCATGCGGGTGTGCTGGAGTTTATTGCGGAGGAGGGCCGAGCATACATTCCTCAATGGGTATGGGGCGACTCTGTACTATTGAAAGGTCTTGTTACTAACACTCACTAGATGATGGAAACTCTTGGGATGGACGTTGGTGACATGATCCAGGTCCGTACCACATCATTGGAGCTAGCCAAGATGGTCAAGCTACAGCCGCAATCCGTCAACTTCCTTGAGATTAGTGATCCCAAGGCAGTGCTGGAGAAGGCTTTCCGCAATTTTGCCACCCTTACAAAGGGTGATGTCTTCAATTTCGCCTACAATGATGAAGTCTATGATGTGGCCGTTCTCGACGTCAAGCCCGAGACGGACAAGATGGGAGTCAGTATGATCGAGACCGACGTGTCAGTAGAATTCGCGCCTCCAGTCGGCTACGTCGAACCTGAGCGCCAGAGCGGAACCAGCACCCCAAGAAGCACACGAGGTGGTGTTCCTGCTGGAGGCCTGCTACACAACCAAGGAACCATGGCGCAAGCCATCAACTACAGCGCCATTGCTCCATCAGTGACAAGCAATGTGACAAACTTCCTTGGAGAGGGTCAAAAGCTTGCCAAGAAGGGCAGCAAGGCTCCAACACCCAAGCCAGCTACTCCAGTTCCTACGGTGGAGATCCCAGGAATGCCTAGGAGGCGCGATGGTGCTCCGGCAGCTCTAAGTCTGCCACCTAACAAGCTTTTCTTCGGATATGAGATTAAGCCAGTCAAGACGGACGCCGATAAGGAAGAGGAGAAGGAGAACGCCAACAGGCCTCACTTTGCTGGCCAAGGCCAGACACTTCGGGGTGCCGTTAAAAGAAAGGGAGAAGGAGACGACAAGACCAAGGCCCCCGAGAAGAAGGGTACGAGCGAAGGAAATAGACTCGACGGTCGACGACCACGATGAACAAGGACAATGCAACGAATTGGACTGGCGTTTGGGTGGTAGGCAACGTGATTTAGAGCTTGGTTCAACTTATACTGGGTTAGGTAGTCTGTCACTGATGCCCATGTGAGTGACGGATGTCAACACGAATGAAGAAACACAAACACGCGTAAGATGAAAGTCTCGTGTGATTAGAGTCACGAATTTACACCTCAAGATGTTTGACTTACGGTAAATGATTACCCGCTGCTCTTTTTCTTTTTATTGAACAACCTCTTTTGATTTCTGTCTTCTGGCACTCACTCGCAGACGAGAAACGAAAAGGATACGGTATGAGAGACAGAGACACTAAAAAACCATGCAGAACATGCCATATTGATACATGAATCGCGAGCCCCAAGGCATCCGGAATCGTGTGACTATTTCACTGCCGTTCTCAAAACCCACATGATGAACTTCAGAGACTACGTGCATTCAGATTCTAGAAAAAAAGAAAAAAAGAAATGATAGGCAAACGTTAGTCTCAAATACAGTCTATCGGGGTATGTAAGAAATTGGATAGCTATCCTTCATGAAGTGACTTTGCGTAAGACAAATACGTGATACTTTTGATTGAACACCTAAAGCTTTCGGAACTTGAATATAGAAAGAATTGGCCTTACATCCCCCGAAGGTTACGCAAACAGGAAACTTTCGAAGAAGCTGTTGGATTGGAGAAGAGAGTGACTATGAATGGACAACCAGAGAGCATCGCTAAACAGAAAGTCGCAAGGAGGAGTCCTACGTGAGAAGCCTTTACGAGAAGCAGAAGATGACTGGCATATTGCATGAGACTTGCCTGTGCACAGGCGAGACGCGCAGTAGGGAAACAAAGTGAACTTCATGTTGCGAGGGCTATCAATCCAGCTCTCCGAGGCTGTAAATCTCCCCCTATTATCGCGCCCCATAGCAATAGCATCTAAAGCCTCGATATTATCGACCCTCTAGATATCTGTCCTTTAATGATAGAGTTGCAGCAGTGTCTAAGCACCGTCAACGTTGGCAAGCCAGTTCTCAAACTTGGCTTCCTTCTCAGCAGGAGAAAGGCTATGAGTAGATCAGTATTTTTGTTAGGACATGCGTGCTAATTAAACATACCTGCCCCCAGGCTTGCCCTGGATACCAACGGATGTCTTGAGATCCTCTTCATCGTCCTCGTCCTTGTGCTTCATCTTCTTATGGACAGGAGATCCGACCATGGTCTCCGCATCATCATCCTCCTCGTCCAACATCTCGATTTTCTTCTTAGCAGGAGTAGATCGCTTGCGGCGGGTGGCAGCCTTCTTGGGTGTAGCAGTAGGGGTGCTATTGGCAGGATCGCCATGTCGACCCTTGAAATCGCGCATGATGGACTTGCTGAAATGCTGACTGTTGCTGGTAAGTATCTGGACGGGATGAATATGGCTATGGGATGGGAGGCTCAAGAGCCTGAAAGGAAAGACAGCATGGTAAAGATATGAGAAAGAATAGTGAGACTTACGAGATGGCGTCCTTGGTGAAGGAATAACCAAGGGCTGCCATCGAGGCATGGACCTTTGGCCAGTTGAAGCGCATGCGCTCACCGTCTTGAGCACCCATGATCACTGCGACGCACAGGTCACGCTCGGCGTTGGCGTCCCACTTCTTCTCAGAGGGAGGCATTGCAGTAGGTGGGAGAATGTTTGATGCAGAGTAAAGGATGTTGTCTTGGGGTTGAGGGATAGAGATGCAGTATGTAAGAAGAAGAGGAGTGGATGAAAAGTGTGGAGGGGAAAGATGGAAGAGTGATGGATGGAAGGAAAAGAGTGATTCTGGACAGTATATGGGAAAAGGTGAGAGGGTAGAAAAGTCTCAGTGAATGGAAAAAAGAGATATTTTGGGGGGTAATCGGCTGCTTGTGGCCCTGCAACTGGTGAAAGCGCTTGATTCATCTGCCTAGTAACAGAATGGCCGACGATGCCAACACAGCCACGCAGTTAAGATCATTCTGATACTGATATATCTAGAGGGTTTCGCAACTTGAGTATATAAAAACATCACATATACAGTAGAGTCCAAATTGTAAGCATCCCATGGCACTGGTCACGAGAAGCGGGACCAAACAAGGAGAGTACCCGGCAGGCATTGATTAGAAACAGTTTGTAAGTATGCCATATGTGCTTAGCCATAACTCGTAGAACTGTTAGTGAACATCGGGGAGGCCTTGATGAATACCCAGTAAAAGTGTAGATGCTCGGGACATGCGCATCAACACTTGACGATATTTCTGCACAAAAAAGGGGAGAAAAGGGAAAAAGGACGGGTGGTATCTTTCAATTCATCGCAGAGACATGCTCGTAATATTGCCCTCAAATGGCAAAGCTCTCATCGTAACATCCAAGGCACATGGAAACCATCCTAGCCTAGTTTTACCCCTATTTCTCTGCGATAGGCATGAGCCTGTTGATAACCACTCCAATGTTTACCATCCGTCGAAGACTCAGATTTCAAACCCCTCGACCGTGGAAGCTAGCCTGTTGGTCCATTAGCTGAGAACACATGTGAAAGCATTAGGACATCAACTCACCAGGTAGAAGAAACTCGGACCTAGACCTCACCAACGGTGACCTCGTCCTCGGGCTCGGACCTATAAGACAGTTAGCACGGAACCTGGAAGTTTACTTGGTGAATTCCAACGTACTTGGTGCGCTTTGCGCCCTTGGGAGACATGAGTTCCTCCCCCATGTCGTCAGTCTCCATCTTCAGCTGCATCTTCTCATCCTCAAGATCCTCGTCCTCGTCGACGACGGAAGCCGACTTAGTGGCCTTGCGCTTGGATGGAGTGCGCTTGGAGGGCGTCTTGGTGCCGGGAGCGCGCTTGCGGGGAGTACCATTCTCGGAGCCACCAGAGTTCTGGATGGCGGTGGTGTCGCGGTTCTTGCGCAGCTTCTGGACGTGCTGGCTACAAAGACAAATATGTTAGCAGCTGACCTTTGAAACTGTGCGCAAAAGACAGAAAGTCGAGTACTTGATCGCGTCGTAGGAATAGGAGTAACCCTTGCTGCGCATCTTGGCGGCGACGTTGGTAAGATCAGCCTTGTTCGGCTTGATCTCTTCGAGAAGAGCGAGGAGGAGGTCCTCGTGTGAGGCAGCATCCCAGCCTCGAGTGGGTTTACCAGCCCCAGCAGCAGCAGCAGCAGCAGCAGCGCGGGGAGCCATGACGACGGCGATGATGGACGGTTTGATGAAGGAGAGGGGTTTATGCGTTTGTTTGTTTGTTTGTTTGGGCAGAGAATTACTGATGCCAGGTGTTGGATGAAGAGACAGGAAGAGATGAGAAGGGTTTCAGAGTAGAGTTGTCTGAAATGTGGGAAAGGAGAAGGAGAAATGAGAGAAGGGATGAAGAGGTTAGAAGAGAGGGGAAGTTGAGATGAATGAAAGTGGGGGATGGGAAAACAACAGTGACCAATATGCAACGGGAAAAAGAGGCCGGAGTCAGAAATCGTACCGAAGAGCGCCCTCAGTGAAGGTGTAGCCCTTTTGCTGAAGATCGCCCATGACGTTGCTCCAGTCTTCAGCACTTGGCTTGATGTGTTGAAAGAGACTGATCAGGATGTCTTCGTGGACGTTGGCATCCCACTGCATGACTTGACGCTTGGCCATGGCGACGACGATAGGGAAAGGATGGAGAAGGGGGGTTATGAGGATGTTGATGAGGAAGAACGCAGTTTGCTCAGTGTTGTTGAGAAGTTGAGAAGATGATCTCTTCCATGAGTATATTTGTATTCACTTAGCCCTAAGGCTTAGAATAGAGGAGTGAAAAGTGAGGCCATGTTTGCACAAAAATGTGAATAGCGTCGCATAACCTTCAAGTGAATCACTCTGATATTGCCCAAGCGCAGCACAGCAACAAGATAGTTCAATGATCAAAATCTAAGCAGAAACGCAAACGAAAGATCAAAGAAATGTCAGCACCTACCGCACGGCGTCAAAAGAGGTGGTATATCCGCGCCCCTTGATATACTCTTCAATAGACGACTTGACCGGAGGAGTCAAGCCCCCGCTGACCTGAGCGCCAGTGTAGAGGCCAACGACGAGGTCAAGAAGGAAGTCGGCGCTGTCCCAATCGCTCGCTTTTCCAGGCATGTTGAGGATTGTTTCTCGCCGATTGATTTGGTAGAATTGAGGTTGAAGATGTGGATTGGAGTCCAGATGTCAAGGTTGATGATGGTGGTGGAAAGAGAGGAGAGCTGCGTAGAGCCGATCGCGAGATGAATTTATGCCTCCAAAGAGAACAATGGAACTTACAGAGCAAAGATACTCTGAAAGTAGCAGTTGTCATTGTTCCAGCAGAGCATCACTGCAGTGACTCAAAACCTGCATTTCGGGCACTGCTTCGCACTGCGGATTTGAGTGACAATAGAAACACTCCAGCAAGTTTGGCATTGCTACTGTCCTATCTACAACTAAACTTTCGACATACCTCATCAAGAGAAATGATGTACGCTCTCGATCAAGAGACTCCAGCTCTTTCTTCTGCCAGCCGAATCTCAGTTCCTTTTCTTTCATATTATACACGCACCAAGAATGTTCTTTCTGCAAAAACACAGTCCTCGCTCGCTCATTTCTATCTCATCCCTTGCAAACGCAAAGGCTATTTAAGAAATCCCTAGTCTTGAACGCCAATGCCCGTGGTATCAATGTTATTTTACAAGCAAAGCCGGTTGCTATGCCTCACCATAAGTAGCAAAACTGAAGGGGATTAGTTGGCAGATCATTAATGGTAACATTGACACAAAACTTACTCGGAAGCAAAGTCTGTCGACCCATTATGAGCCGCCAGGGCCAAGACAGCTTCATCATCCATATCGTTATCCTTAGGGGGTTCAGGCGAACTTAACCGTGGCCGCTTAGCGGCCGGCTCATCATTCTCGATATCCGCTTCGCCGTCAGCATCGGCGTCGCCATCAGCATCGATATCCTCGTTGGGATGTTGCAGTGGCTCCGAGGTCAAAGCAGCATGAGAGTCCGCGTCGTTCTGTCCAACTGGTGCATGTTGAGATGCAGCACTTGCATCGGTTGCTTCACGAGCCTCCCGAGGTGCTTCCTGGGAAACATCCTGGGATTGGTATTCAGTTGAGTTTTCCTGCTCTGGCTGAGGCTGTGCAGTTGGCTGTGAAACCTGTTCGGGTTCGTCTTGTTGATCTGGTTGAGGTTGAAACTCTGACTGGAGCTGTTGGTCAAGGGGAGGTTGCTGTTCGGGCTGAGGCTGTTGGCCAGGTTGACCGGATTGTGCATGCTGAAGGGGATGAAGATGGGCAGGCGCCTGAGGAGTGTCAGGGGCACGGGGGGGACTTGGGTAAGTTATCGGACCCTGAACATGAGGTACGTTGCTGGGGGGAGGAGCTTGTTGAGTAGGAATCGCGGGAGAGATGTTGCCAGGCTGTGCAGCAGGATGAGCTGGTAGATGAGCGTCATCTTGATGATTGCCAGGAGGAACACCATAAGATTGGACTGTCTGGGGATGAGGATGGGGGTAAGGAGGTACGGGGTTGGACCCAGGAACGATACCAACTGGCATAGGCTGATCGGTAGGGATTTCTCCAGCTCCTGGAACAGGAACAGGAGGCTGTTTCCTAGGCCGACCTCTTCCAGGGCCGGGACGACGGGTGATCGGATTCATTGTCGGATCATTCCTACGTACAATGTCGCCGTTAGGTCCCGCTGTCTCTGCCTTATTCTGAGCTCTGCGAAGCCCCTGAAAATGTTGACTAGATACATATTAGTGCTGTGTTATCTGAGAAGTTGAACAGAGTTTATAAAGCAGGGTTATTTGTATATATGAGGTGAGTTAAGTATGTGTTGTGTGATCATAAGTGGATGTAAACGGGTGATTCAGGTATAAGCCAACTTGACGCGTAACAACCACCAGCACGAATTATACATGGTGATAAGCAAATGACGATAACGTTGTGAAGAATGGCAAAGCAAATGCGTATAGATAGGCAGGCAAGTATGACAGTAATAAAGCCAAATACTGACCGGCAGCCTTCATTGGTGAAGCCATAGCCCAGACTTCTCATATGGTTACCAATGGTGGTCCATTCTGAGCCGCTTATGACGCCAATGTTTTTGACGGAGAGAATAGTAAAGAACAAGTCTTTGTCAGCTCTGTCATTCCAATTTTTACTGTTCATGCTGAATTCAACGAAGGTAGAGCAATTGTCGACGTGACAAAGAGTGATGGGTTACAAGGCGGCAACGCGACTGTAGATGGTTAGACGCTGTTAAGGCAACGGCTGGATCAATGGGAAAATTGATAGTGTAGGTAGAAATTGCTAAGGGAAGGGGAGCCCGCTGAGGCGCGAGGTTTGGGGGGGGGGGGGATAATGATGGTCCAAGCTTCCCGTCTTCTTGGCATACATCGCCCGGGGGAGAGAACAAAAGGGCACTTCGGGATCCGGATGAATATTGTTTCCGAGTCGAGACCCTCCCTTATCATTCGAGATTCATTGGATGATGAACTCGAGAGCTTTTGCTTTTCCTAGATGTTCTGTCTACTAGGTAGGTAGGTAGGTAGGCATCTATGAATGTTTGCTTTTTCGACTGCTCGCCTAGATTCGTACAATGCCGAGTCCAACGTTGTCTGGCAATAATTCTTTCTCTTGGCAGACAGCATCATGACTTGTACCTATGTCGTTGCAATGTACCTCAGTTCCAGACGAACTCAACGTGTTAAACTGAATCAGCTTTTGAGATTGACAACGACAAGCAAAACATGTATGCATATCAAAGGTTATTCTGTGGTTGGCGATGGCAAAGCAAAGAGAGATAAGAAAACTGACATAGTAGGATCTCTATCTGTACGTAGCCTAATAATAAAAGAAAGACCAGCAAATCACATTGACAACCCCAGTGATGCCAACGTAAACAAACGGTTACCGAAAGAGGATTAGTCCAACTCAACGTTAGATCATCTGGCTGCTATGTATCCGTAACGGAGCGGCAGAGGGGAGGGGACCCGCCAATCTGCGCCACGAAGTGAAGCAAGGGATTTCAGGGGGGAACAAGAAAAGATGACTTGAAGTGGAGACGGGCTACGAGGTTCCCTCACGTGCTTTCGTTCCCATTTCCTGTCCTGATGAGTCTGAGCAAGATCCCACCAACTGCGCGCCCGTCGCGTCTCCCACCCACTTCATCTCATGCCCTCCATAACGACCAGACATTGACTCGAGGGCTCTACACGACCATGAAAGCTTTCATAATTGTCAAATACGATTGTTTCAGCTGTGTTTTATATGCTCGAGAATTTTTCCGACTCCCAAAGCTCTCGCGGTTGGTGAATTGCTGCTTTTCATCGTCGTCGTGACGGATTGCGACCATCAACTTTTTTCTAGGCTACACCCCTCAGCTGAGCGTCAAGAGGCAAACAGGCAAAGCAAACCTCGGCGGATCGGCTGCATGCTGCAATTTCTTTCATTCTTGAGCCTCGAGACCCCGATCCTTGCTCTTTCTGATGTCTCTCGTCTCATCACAAGTATGTAAAGTGCCTACCTACCTAGGTGGTAGTCAGTCTGCTCAAACTTGCATCCAGTTTGAGCTTGCTGCACACCACCATAAGCTTGAGCTCAAGCTCAATTCATTCCCCCAACCAATTGAACATTTGCCTGTCAAATACCACGAGGCCATCTGAACAGAATATCTATCGCCATGGATCGCCAAGTCGCCCAACCTGGTCCTCTGCGGTTTTCCCCCTGCGTTGTTGCATGCTGTATGCCCAATGTGCTATTAACTATTCGTCGGTGACCCGCGCAATGAGTCACACTTTGTGGTTTCACCCATTCCTAGGCTTGCAATCCCTGCTCGGGTACGCTTTAGCTTGTCTCGATGTGTCTATTTAGAAAACTTGTCTCTTGTCAATTGCCGCGGGCTGGCTACTAACCTTCAGCTTACGAGAATTAAAAGAGTGAAGAGAGAGGGGAAGATCAGCTAGACCGGTTTTGAGCAAAACCACTTAAACTTTAACATTCCAGTCTCAAATGAACTCAAGCTGAGAGTGAGCATGCCATTGTCTCAATTGATCAATCTTGTATTCTTTTCTCCTTTTGAGATCTCATCTGGAAGTAATTCTTCCATAGGACCTGCGGCACCGTGAGCTGTAGTGGTTGCAGCACACCCTGCCCTGGCGACAGGGGCCATGGTGCGCTGGGGCCCGGCGGTCTTAGACTCAAATTTAGTGGGTTTAGCGGGGGGTCATCAACCACTTTACGCGGTGTTCGCGCAGGCCGCGCCCCAATTTCCATCAACGGGAGGGATCGCCTGGACCCGACAGGAGGAACAGGCAACTACCTATGGAGCATCGTCTGCATCATGGATCGTAGCATTCTCAGACATTTTCTCTCAATGGCTTGCGCAGCGCATTACGGCACATTGCACGATCCATGCTGTGCCTGTACGGGGATGCTCGGTCCCCCCTGTATCTGCCTGGTTCTAGTCCCCCACAGAGACGGGACAGGAGGTGTGTAGGTGTATGTATATGGATGTAAGTTGGTGTGTGTGGCATCACAATTAGGTTGGATTGGATCTTAGCAGCCCAGACGACTCATAAGTACTGTAGTTGGGCACTACCTACCTACCTACCTACATATAACACGGATCCCTTCCTGTTTTCCTTCTTTCCATCTCTTCCCTCCTCCGCTTGCCTCTCTGTGCCTCTTTGTGCCCTCGTGCCACATCACCTTTGCATCTTGCCATTCACATTCTTCATCAACACTCCAAACTTTGTGCTCAAAAGGCAATCCATACGCTACAAGCATTCATAAAAGACTCTTCGCTCAGCTGACCCTCCTCTTCAACGAGACCACTATCTTGGCCTGTTCTATTCTCGCCTCGTCCGCCTCGTTGGCCAGAAAACCCTCAACGTCTGCCACATCGTTTATCACTCACTCATCAATAACCCTTTTCGTCCACTCGATCTGTATCTGAGTGCGCCTCAGCCTTGCCGATTCCCTCTTATCGAATTCACGACATTAGGTTTCACGATTACAGTGACCCCATCGAATCAAGTCTTGATCTGAAAACGCACAGCCTCGTTTTCGGTCAATATACTCATCCCGAAAAGCTAATTCACGCTCACCTAAGGCATCCATCAGCCAAAGCTGCCTAAAGTTTCCACTTCATGTTCTAATCTATATATACTTCCTTCCACTTCTCCTCATTCTGCCTCCTCGACCGCCTTATCTCCGCCGCCACACGCCACATCCTCTCCTCCTCTCCCCTTGACACAAATCAAGTCTATCCACGATGGCTCCCAATAGCGAGAACGCCATGGCCCGGTTTCTTCTGGCCATCTTGAATCAGAAGAACCTCAAAGACGTGAGTTTATCCTACTTTGAAAGTTGCTCTGCTTCCCCTCCTAACGGCGGCAACCCCAGATCGACTGGAACCAAGTCGCCCAAGATCCTGTTCTCATCGAACCCATCACAAATGGACATGCTGCGAGGATGCGCTTTGCTCGTTTCAAGACCACCGTCCTTGGCACTCAACCACAGAAGAGAACTCGTCCTGCCGACCCCACAGACAAGTCTCGTGTGACCAAGGCAAGGAAGACACAACAACCCAAGAAGAACAGCATCGGCAATTCTGAGTCAGGTTCGAGCGTCTCATCGTATGCTCAGGTTCGCCAGAGCCCTATCATCAAGCAAGAACACAACCAACATGCATACATGGCACAGTTCTCTCCCGCATCTACGTCCTCCCCTTTTCTCAACGACAACTTGGACGACTTTGGTTGCAGTTCTCGATTCCTCACCCCTTGCAGTGATGACATGCAACAAGGCCTCTCCATAAACCCTGCTTCACTCGAAGACACCAGACAGCGGAATGGATTTGGTCCTTCGATGGATTGTCCCCCTGACTTCATGGCCCAACCAGCGATGCATGACTTCATGACCATTGGGCAGTCCCATTTTCATACGTTTGACGCCACCTGCAATGAGACATCTTACAACTCGGCTCTCGGCGATGCACAGAGCCCAGCTGCCCTTGATCTCAATGGCGCTCCTCCCATGCCAGATTGCGGCTCTGAATGGCCTGACCATTTCAACGACACTTCTTTTTAATACCCACACGGAAAGCATGGAAATCCCCACGGATAGAGGGTCGCTTGTGTACAAAATGGTGATTTGCTAGACTGCGTTTGATTTATGAATTAATGACAATTGCTTCTTCGATATGGTTACTTTTCCTATGTCCTTCTGTCAGGGTTCTGCTTTACACAATTTCCAACTTTGATCCAGCAGAGACGTTTATCACAAGTCTCTATCAGGATCAACATCAATTTAAGGATGAAAAGAATGCCAGTTACTGGAAGCCTGCTTTACTGAAACTTATGTGTTGCTCTGGAAGTTGTACACTAGCATTTTTACTCACAGTCTAACTGAGAGAATCATTTATCGATTCCTACACAGCATGTGCCCACACTCATATTGTATTGACCGTACCAGCTACATACAAGTGTGATATTGCAGTTCTGATTTGGCAGAAGCTGGTTCATCTGACTAACACTTGGCAGTGGCATAGCTCCCCAAAAGCAGTGCCAAACATAGACAAACCTCACTAACAGCACAACCACAGTGATAAGAGAACCATAGGTAGGCTTCAGTCTTAGGAGCAAGTTCCCGCCATCATAATGCGCTGCAGTCATTTGGTGTACCTGCTAGCTCTTTCAACTTATCCCTTATAGCGCAACACTGATAGCATATTTACTGAAGCTCCTAAACTTCTCTAAATTTCTGATTTCTTCTTCCCCAAGATCTAGGCATAAATTCGCGTCACTCCTCCGCGCACAGATTCATCTCCTCCACACCAGCCTTGCTTTGTACTTTACCCATTTTATTAACACCAAACAACCAAACACACCCCCTTTCACTTTCAACACAACGGTATGGAATACCTGACACTTACCTGAGGTACCAACAGTTATCAGACTAATGCTTTTCACAGCACGACGCTACCATGGCCGACAACAATAAGAAAGAGCCCACTGCCGCCGAAGCTATGCTTTTCTTCAGCATTGTCAAGCACACTCGAAACAAGGCTGATGTTGACTGGAACGCTGTCGCCTCTGAGGCTGGATTCAAGAATGCCGATGTCGCCAAGGTGAGTTGCCATCCTCCTCCTTTACCCATGCCGCCGCATTCATCCCATGATCAAACCTGTCATCTGTTTTCGTATACTGACTCAAGAATCACAGGTTCGCTTCGGCCAGGTTAAGCGTAAGCTCGGAATCTCTACTGAGACTACTGCTCCCAGCCGCGGTCCTGTGACTCCCAAGAAGACCGCTGGCGCTCGAGTCGCCAAGACTCCCCGTAGCGGCAAGGACAAATCAAAGGTCAAGAAAGAGGCTGAGGCTGTCCTCCTGCACGATGAAGATGAGGACGAGCTGGTCAAGGCCGGAATCAAGGCTGAGGACCGTGAGATGGAAAAGACTCCAGAGAAAGAGGACCTCGGGGACGATGACATCGACCCCGCCAACTTTCCCTTCTTCCAACAGTAATTCCACAACTGGGAGAATGTTTCGGGCTTTTCAGATCCATACTACGATCTGTTATGGTTGCTTATAGTCAGAGTTGGGGAATTCAGAGTGGATATACGATCTGAGGTCTTAGCTATGGCAACATCATACCGCAAAGCCAAGTATCACGACAACAGAATGGAGTCGAAATTCTAGCACATCCAAAATTAGTTGCAAGCATTAGTGACTCGCCTTAAATAATTTGTAGTGATATATCCTCACAACCCGACTGGCAGTTGATGAGTGTCAGGCTGGAGGTCCTGAGTTCAAATGAAGATATCATACGGGGTTGAAGATGAATCTGCTGGCTGTAATGCATAGATACACTCAATTGGATCCAGAATTATCCATTCTCTTTTGTGCGTACCTACCTAGGTAGTGTGCGAGATTTGGAACTTCGGCCCTTCTCACTGCCTGTTCTCGTTGCATGTGCCCTGGCACTGCAAGCTATTGTCTCATTCACTTCACCGACCCAACTCGCCAAAATCCACCCTATTGTCCTAACTATTGCACATATAGGCTTGCCAAAGCCCTGGGACCTTCACTGTAGTCAACCAATATTTAAACCCACGGTCCCACCCTCTGCCTCTTGACCTTTCCTCCTCCACCACACTCTCTGCCAACACGCAGCAAGCAACTTTGATTGCTTGACAAGCTTGACACTTTCCACAAACAACATCTTTCAAACATTCAACAAGTATGCCACTTTTCTAATTATTTTATCCTCATGATCATCTCTAACCTCACCACAGATCAATCATCATGCCTCCCAAGAAGAGTGCCGACCAGGATGGCTCCCCCATCGGCCTCACTGATGGTGAGCTCCGATTCATCAAGGCGATCTTCGACAATATGACGCAAAAGCCTGACGCCGATTGGGATGCTGTTGCCAACACTGTCAGCCTGAAGGATGCCAAGTGCGCCAAAGAGCGCTTCCGTCAGATGTCCGTCCGTCATGGCTGGCGTAGCGATGGCGCTGGAGCTGGTCCCAGTCCCCGCAAGTCCTCTGCCTCGACCTCTAGCCCGAGAAAGTCTCCTGCTGCTGTGAGAAAGCCCAGAAAGACCAACGCTACTCGCAGCCCCTCCAAGAAGTCTGCTAAGAAGGTCAATGAGGATGACGAGGAAATCAAGGAGGAAGCTCAGTCGGAGGAGAAGAAGGAGATCAAAGCTGAGGCTGAGGACGATGACACCAACTAATGGGTAAAGCTATGGGAGCAAGGACATCGTATTGTCGACTATGCTTGGAAGATTCATGAGAACCTCATAACACGTCTAGGGGTAATACTGAAAGGATCTGGCTAGTCAATATCTGGAGGCACTACTGAGATGAAATTGAGACATTGAGACACCATTAATCAATATCGGGCTACAACGTGATTTCGGGCTTTGATCAGAATCTGCAGTAAAATCTCATCCGCTCTTCTTGGCCGGGCGGGAGAGTGGGAGAGTGGACGAGAGGTGGAGTGGCACTGCAACATCATAAGCTGGGATGGAATATTCTCAGACCATAATTTGCATGGCAGCGCGAACTAGAATTCTGGGTAATTTTCATCTATATCTTGTGGGCAATATTATCGCTGGCCTGGGCTTGTTCTCCACGAGTTACCACATTGGCCTACCCCTGAATATTGCTATTTTTTACGATTTATCTATCGTTTCTATATTCATAGACCAAGCTCCTCAAGGAAGCCTCAGTATACTTACCATGCCAAATAAAGTCCGTAGCAATGCCCATATGCAGTATTGATCCTTGAATGGTATTCAAGCCAGGGAATCAACCTGGCAGCTGGCAACACTGTCAAGTGGGCACAGCTCCGGCATAGACGAGCTTCAGTTGTTCATAACTGAGTTCCATATATTAATTGTCTGTTCCACAGGGCTTAGTTGCCCGGCTAATGCACAAACAGTATTCCTTGTGCTGTTTGGTTGGTGCCACTTCGTCTGATGTTGATATTTGCCCCAAATAAGCGTTGCCTGCTGCCACATCCGCCCTCTAGTCCCTCTCTGCTTTTCTCCCTGCTCTATTTACTCCAGGCAAACATAGACTCATCTTGTATCGTCTCCCCCGAATAATTTCTTTCAATCTCTCACCATCTGAGTTTTGTGCCTTTGATCATCCCACCTCAACCGCACCACATCACTAGACGACCACATCAGTCTCAAACACTGTAAGTCTACAAACCCTTGACCTGTTCTTCTCCTTGACCCTTTGAATTGGATTCATACCGGCCTCATCGCTCACTCTCATAGCCCAGACAACCGCCACGATGTCCAAGCAAGAGCCTGCGGATCAGGTCAAGTTCCTTGTGTCCTGCATCGGACATACCAGCAACGGTCGAGTAAGTCCAGATCCATCTTTTGTTTCATGTTGCTCTGCTAACAAACCAAGCCCGACTTCCAGGCTGTTGCTGAGGAGCTCAGCATCGTTTCCAAGGCCGCTGCGTAAGTCACCCTTCCCTTTCCCCCATCATCAACACTAACCCACGACGCAACAGTCAGAAGCGATACGAGCGAATGCTCAAGGCCCACGGCATCAGCCGTCCTGGTGCTCTCGCCAACGGCAATGGGGCCGACTCTGCCCCCTCAACTCCCAAGCGCAAGGCCAAGGCCGAGGGCGCCGGAAGTGCCAAGAAGCGAGCCACTCCTCGCAAGGCCAAGAAGGAGGAGTCTGAAGATGATGAAGACGTGAAGCCCAAGACCCCTACCAGCAAGAGCAAGGTCAAGAAAGAAGAGGAGAAGGAATCGGCTGATTCTACTGGCTCGCTCTCTGGTATGCGTCCTCGATGTTTCGGTCACGATAGTTTACTAACCTCGACGATAGATGCGCCCGCTTCCGATGGTTCCTAAGCCCAGATCCAACGACCCAGTGCATGGTGATAGGAACATTTGGAACAGTAGCATCAGCCTGGGTTTTGTCTTGCCAATCTCATGGACAGCTAGATATCTGATTAGGATGTGACAGCGTATGCGCAAAGTTGGGGTATCAGGATCATGGATCGAGGATAGCCTCAAGAGATGCAAGTAACAACTAAAGAAACGAATCTGTGCTTTCAAATTCACATGACCACACTCTATTATACACACTCGTATACTCGCCTCTCAGCAGTGACTTGAGCTTGCAATGCCTTTTGGTATCAAGGGTGGATGAGCACCCGTCCCATCCACATCTGTTTCTAGCCTCGACTGCCAAATCGTAAGCATGATATCGGGTACTCACCGGAAATAACATTCAATTGAGCATTACATTCAATTAAACTCCTTGTATCCTTAAAGCCACTAACAGAGCCCGATTTTACATTTCCCGCTGTCTGCCAGGCACTGCCAGTGATGGCTTCAAGCCCCACTCCATAAATGCACCTCCTATTGTCACACTTGAGCGTCAATTGAACAATAGTAATTCTGCCAGAATTTCCTATTGTAGTTGGGACCGTCAATTAATCAATGGGGACATGCATGGTCTACTCTACGCCCATGGGGGGGATCATGTCTCTTCTCTTCCCTCTCCCACATTCACCATTACTTCGCACTCTTCCTCCAACACTCATTCTCTCTGCAACAGCGAACTCCATCGCAGGCTTCGTTCCTTTCTGATTCTTCTTGAAAGACTCAAGACAAATTGAGCGTTGATTCTCTTTCTGTAAGTAAAGTGCTCTTCTTCTGCTACCTCAAGCTCATTCTCTCAAGGCACATTCACCTCAACCTTTGCTTATACCAAAGCACACAACACTTCTGCTTCATCTTCTGAGCTTCGCTACTTGCTGTTCGACAAATCTTCATCATGTTGGGTCCTACTCCAGCCCGTAATCCGCTCTCTTTCACTTTTGAGGACGGCGATTCCGAGTTTGATGCTGAGACGACAATGCCTGATTATGAGCCCATGTCTCCCGTTGTCGCCAATCTTGAGAAGATGGTTGCCAATCGCAAGACCGCTCCCAGTGAGAGCTACACCACAACTGAGACTATTGGCTCCGTCGGGCGTGGCATCTCCACCAAGCGTAGCATCTCAAGCATGGACAGCACCCCCCCCCGAGTCGCCCATTGAGGCTTTCCTCTCCCGGCCCGAGACTCCCAACTACCCTTACAACAGCTGGAACTCTACCTCTGCGTTTACCATGCGTAATGGCCAGGTCTATAGCTTTGGTCAGCTTCAAATGATGTCCCTCGAAGTTGCTGAAGCCAGACGCAACGGAGAATTCCCCCCTACCAACGAGCCCACTCTCGATGCCAATGCTGTTGCCGAAGACTTCAACTCGCTCACCTATCTTCGACGCCTTCGTGGCAACCTCCTTGCTCCTGCTCCTCAATCGTACACCCACTTCCGCGAGCAGGTTGCACTCGGCATCCAGGTCCGTCAGGCATCTCTCAAGCGTGAGACTGATCAAGAAGTCGCCCGACGTGTTGACCACTACCTTCAAGCTGTGGAAGCTGAGCAGCGCTATTACAACGCTAGCAACAACATACTCCAGCGTCGTGAGGTCGCCAATCCTACTCAACAAGACTTCATCGGACCCCACGATGATATGTGCTCTATGGTGGAGCATACTATCGAGCAGGGCATCTCCGATGCCACTGGACCCCTCCGCATGAACGTTTCTAATCTCAAAAAACAAGGCGAAGTCTTCCAGGAGCAGACTGCCCTTCTACAGCAGCAGAACGACATGTTCCAACGACAGACTGATGGGCTTGTTCAACAGCAGAGCGGTCTCCTGCGACAGCAAACCGATGTCTTCCGGCACCAGACCGATGTCTTTCAGCACCAGACTCAGGAGCAAAACAGACTCTTCCAGCTACATGCAGGCCAGCAGAATGACCTCTTCCTGCAGCAGCACAGCATGTTTCTGAATCACAAGGCTAGCCTTCGGGAACAGAGCCGTTTCTTCAAGAAGCAGACCGACACTCTAGAGCAGCAAAACAGAGTCATGAATGCTTCTGTCACCCACTTAAGTAACCTTATTGAGCCTCAGATCTATAACAACCAGGCTACCGCCCAGACCCTCGCTTCTGCCAATCAGCTTTTCGTCGACTTGTCGAAGCAACTCCCTGAGACCATCCGATGCGCTGTAGAGGAAGCTTCCCAGAAACAAGCTCGCGAGCTCATTGAGCAAGCTCTTCAAATCCAGCAGATGGCTATCGCCAACCCGCAGCCTGATGCCAAAACCATCAGCGCTCCGGTTGAAGAGGCCCAGGAAAAGAAGGCCGTCGCTGTTGATTCCGCTAGGGCCGAGCGAAGTGAGCGATCATCCCTCTACCGCATGGTGCGCAAGTTCAAGCGCCAGCGCATCTCTTCGTGAATGACTGGAGGGACGAGCAACAGAGTAGTAGCAGACCTTGCCGTCTTGGGATGGAATACGTTTGATCAGTTTGATGTATGTAGTGACAAGGTCTGATTGACACTTGCTTTGCTCATTGAGTTTACTGTACTCAGATAGAACTTCGATTACTTTCGCATTTTGATTAGTCTTAATCAAGACTCGGTTGTTTTAAGTTATATGGTATATCTCAACATCACGGTTGTTTCTTGACTTCAACTATTCACTACCCACGGCAGTTTCGATATTCCCAATCTAAAGGTATTGAGTCGTTGCCCTTTGGCGTCTTTGGCTTGGAGTTTCTGTCTGGGTTAGTCAATCCGATATTCCTCGCCATATTGAACGATTGAAAGACATTATAGAGTCAGATGTGACCATCTCTGAATGCTGCATTATCTAGTGCCAGTCATCTCATGAGTATAGGACATCTAATGACACAAATCGTGTAAACACAGTCTCGGCATCTTCACTTGATCTATCCAGCCAGCTTACACCGTTGAGCCCCATGGAAAACGAGCGAACCCCAGATGGGCCATTTGTCATGCAACATCGGGCAGTGGAGTCGTTCACCGTGGAGCAAAAGAGTCTCGGTCTGGAGATCGAAAGCCGCTCGTGATCTGTCAAAAGCCAGTTCTGTATGCCGTCCTCGGTTACGGCGCCGGTAATAGGAGTTCCAGGCCTTCGAATGCCCCATCTTCAGGCCTTCCAGGGCATTTAGCAGCGAGTCTCACAGACGTCGTTGGAAAGGTGTAGAAATCGTTGGCCGGTGGCGCTAGTACGTATCAGGGCTAGCCTCGCAGCTGGGTTTTGCCGAGACCGACACTCCGAGCGACGGGGACGATTCCATTTTTTTGAGAGCTTCTCAGTCGCCATCATATCAACCTTTCGTCTCCCTCACTCTAACCCTCTCCTCCTCTGAACCTGATTCTGACTCGTCCGTCCTACATCCCCAGGTCGAATTCCTCACGAGCGTTTCTCTTTTTTCTCCTTTGCTTGTAATTCTCCCCATATACCCCTTCCTAATTCCACAATCATGCAGCGCGCATTGAGCACCCGGGCTCGGGCTTCCGTCCTCTCCTCAGCGGCTACCAAGTACCGAGCTGGCAGCCTCAGCCAGCAGGTCCGATTTGCTCACAAGGTATGATAATACTACGGCGTCACAAGATTCCAATTGTATGCTAATTCACTGTATAGGAGCTCAAGTTCGGTGTTGAGGGCCGTGCTGCTCTCCTCGCTGGTGTCGATACCCTCGCTAAGGCGGTTGCTACTACCCTCGGTCCTAAGGGCCGAAACGTCCTCATTGAGTCCAGCTTTGGATCTCCCAAGATCACCAAGGGTTCGTAGAAGCCTCATTGACCATTCCCATGCTTTCAACTAACTTATTACAGATGGTGTGACCGTTGCCCGCGCTGTCAGCCTCAAGGACAAGTTCGAGAACCTCGGTGCTAAGCTCCTCCAAGATGTTGCTTCCAAGACCAACGAGGTTGCTGGTGACGGTACCACCACCGCTACCGTTCTCGCCCGTGCCATCTTCTCCGAGACCGTCAAGAACGTCGCCGCTGGCTGCAACCCTATGGACCTCCGCCGCGGCATCCAGGCTGCTGTTGAGGCCGTCGTCGAGTTCCTCCAGAAGAACAAGCGTGATATTACCACCAGCGCTGAGATCGCTCAGGTCGCTACCATCTCCGCCAACGGTGATGTCCACATCGGCCAGATGATTGCCAACGCCATGGAGAAGGTCGGCAAGGAGGGTGTCATCACCTGCAAGGAGGGCAAGACCGTTGCCGACGAGCTCGAAGTCACCGAGGGTATGCGATTCGACCGTGGCTTCGTCTCCCCCTACTTTATCACCGATACCAAGTCCCAGAAGGTCGAGTTTGAGAACCCTCTCATCCTTCTCTCTGAGAAGAAGATCTCTGCTGTTCAGGACATCATCCCTGCTCTTGAGGTCTCTACACAGCAGCGACGACCTCTTGTCATCATTGCTGAGGACATTGAGGGTGAGGCTCTCGCTGTTTGCATTCTGAACAAGCTCCGTGGCCAGCTCCAGGTTGCCGCTGTCAAGGCCCCCGGCTTCGGTGACAACCGCAAGTCCATCCTCGGCGATCTTGCTATCCTCACCGACGGTACTGTCTTCACTGATGAGCTTGATATCAAGCTTGACAAGGCCACCCCTGACATGCTCGGCTCTACCGGTTCTATCACCATCACAAAGGAGGACACCATTGTCCTGAACGGCAGCGGCAGCAAGGACGCCATTGCTCAGCGATGCGAGCAGATCCGTGGCGTCATTGCTGACCCTACCACCTCTGAGTATGAGAAGGAGAAGCTCCAGGAGCGTCTTGCTAAGCTCTCTGGCGGTGTTGCCGTCATCAAGGTTGGTGGCTCCTCCGAGGTTGAGGTCGGCGAGAAGAAGGACCGATTCGTCGATGCCCTGAACGCCACCCGTGCCGCCGTTGAGGAGGGTATCCTGCCCGGTGGTGGTACTGCTCTTATCAAGGCCTCAGCCCACGCCCTGAACGAGGTTCCTACTGCCAACTTCGACCAGCAGCTCGGAGTCAGCATCGTCAAGAACGCCATTACACGCCCTGCCCGAACCATCATCGAGAACGCCGGTCTTGAGAGCTCCGTCGTTGTCGGTAAGCTCACTGACGAGCACGCTGGTGACTTCAACAAGGGTTTCGATAGCTCCAAGGGCGAGTACGTTGACATGATCAACGCCGGTATCCTTGACCCCTTCAAGGTCGTCCGCACTGGTCTCATCGATGCTAGCGGTGTTGCCTCTCTTCTGGGCACCACTGAGGTTGCCATCGTTGATGCCCCCGAGGAGAAGGGAGCTGGTGGTCCTCCTATGGGCGGCATGGGTGGCATGGGAGGAATGGGCGGTATGGGAGGTATGATGTAAAAGACGGAATGATATGACTTTATGTTGTGCTGTATCACTAAAAAAAAAAGCTGGACGGATGAATGGCGCACCATGGTTTGCGTGTTATCTTGGGACGGGTAAAGTGGTCTTGCAAGCTCATCTCCTCTCTATCGGTTGTCGGACCACGACATTTGTCTTCATACCCCTTACGGATTTTCAGGCTAGATTTCGAAAGCCATGTATTATAGCATTGATTGTAGCATTAGCATGAAAAGATATGAGATACTAAAAGTTAAAAAGAGAGGCAAGAATGAAAGACATTGAAACATCTGGTTTCTTATCTTGTATGCGACTTCACGTTCATAGTGCTAGCAACATGCTGATATGTTTACAATGGGATCTCTTGTGTAAGGCAAGCTCCGAGTCGCCGAGACAGGGTAGGGGTTTGTTGCATGAACAGACAAGAGATGACGAGTTACGACAAGGGTGAGTTTGGCGGTCTCAAGAACAGATGCCAACAATAGACGGTTTCGTAACTGAGAGATACTGTTACATACCAACCAACGCAAGACAAGAGTCTGGCGTAAATACAAGCCATGAAATATATCAATACAAGTCATGTTGTATTCAACCAAATCAGTACCTAGGTAATTACCTTACTCACCTGCCTGTACCTAGGTGATGTTCTTCTGACATACACTCTTGTCCAGTCACGTGAAGCTATCCTTACAGGCAACCCCCCCCCCCACCAAGACCAAGAGGAGAAGAGTAGGTACCCAAGAGAGGGGAGACTCGACTCAAGTTTCTCCCGCAACGGCCCCGCCTTTCTATGGGACAATACAAGGCAATTCTCTCTTTCTACCGCCTAAACCGAACTAACCCAAGAGATACAACCCACTCACTCTCACGCCCATTTCCATCGACTTTGTCCTTTTGCTTCGCTTCGCTCTACATCGTGAGACTGTCGATTTTCTCTCCTACACCTCAATCTACTCTGTACGTACGCCGAGAGCCTCTTGCTCTCCTCCACCCTCAACCAGGATTCCATCCTCTTACACCCTGTACTTGAGGTCTATAGCTAACTCAGAGCTCCCCGCCAGCCCGTCCACCCCTCATCCTAAACATCCCGTCTCCTGACGTAGACCGCAATCATGGTAAGCTTCCCTATAAAGCCGCCAAAAATGCCCTGAATCTAATGATAATCCACAGTCTCAATCCGGGTTCGTCTTGCCGCTCTCTTCTTCAGCTATTTGACCCTCGCGCGCCCATTAAATCCTCACTTCCCCGCGGCTGAGCCTCGCTTCGCTGCTCATCTCCCCTCCCCCTCGACCATGATTATGACGCCTAGCGCGGGGCACAAACACGCAATAGCTACCTAGACAGCATTATTTGAGACAACGGCGCTAACGTTGAACTTTGCTTTTTCGAAATACAGTGCCACCGTTTCGCAGGACTGCATAACTGCCTTCAACGACCTGAAGCTTAGCAAGAAGTACAAGTACATCGTCTACAAGCTCTCCGACGACTACAAGGAGATCGTTGTCGAGCACGCCTCCGACAACAGTGACTGGGAGGACTTCCGTGAGAAGCTCGTCAACGCTACCTCCAAGAGCCGAACTGTACGCCTGCCAATCCGACAAACGTAGAATGAGGCCGAATCACCAATTCTAACATCTCTTGTAGGGCGCTGTTGGCAAGGGTCCCCGTTACGCCGTCTACGACTTCGAGTACAGCCTGGCCTCCGGCGACGGTATCCGGTATGCAGTCCTCCCCCGGCCTGCACGTGGCCCAATTCAATACTCCCAAATCGCTGACAATCGGACAGAAACAAGATCACCTTCATTGCCTGGTCTCCCGATGATGCCGGTATTCAGGTACGTAGATACGCGATATTGCTTGGCAATGCGTCTCCTTCGGGCACCCACTAACACCCAACTGCAGCCCAAGATGATCTACGCTTCCTCCAAGGAGGCTCTTAAGCGATCGCTCACTGGCATTGCCACCGAGCTCCAGGCCAACGACACTGATGACATCGAATACGACTCCATCCTCAAGACCGTCAGCAAGGGTCTTGCTGGTTAAGCGCGCTGTCACCGACGATCCAATAGCCGCCCGCGCTCCCATATAGAAGCGGGTGGACATGGAATTTGAACATACCTATGGCTGTTTCAAGAGTTGAGACACCAAAACAAGCAAATGAGTAGGAGTGCATAGTGAAGGGGGTGGAACAAACGCGTGGGGACAATGAAATGTTTCGTTTCCTTCAGGGACGCAAACCAGCGAGTTTGCTTCTGGGGGCGAGACCTGAATTCGCACAATTGCCGACATTGACCATGTATCGTACGTACCACGGGAAATGAAACCGCATGCTGGTATGTGGCAACTATTGGCATTTTATCATCTATCTATTCGAGTGTCTTTGTCATGCTCTCATTGCTTCTAAACGTCGTCGCCCTCTATGGGTTTGCTTGACTCGACTCCCAACTTGATTTGAAAAGCTCAGAGAGACGTTCGGCCTCAGCTTCGTCCTTTAGTCGTTGCATCAAGAATCCTCTCAGGTCACTCCAGAAGGCCTCCGTGTGTAAGGCTTGGGCGCCTACGGGTTGGGCCTCAGGGGTGGCCTCAGGCTCTTCTGGTGGAATAGCAGCGGCGCCTCCAATAACCATTACCGTAAACTCAATAGACATATCCGTCTCGCCTAGTAGATCCTTAAGAATCTTGCTATCAGGGATAGGCTTCTTGTTGTGCAACAACTTAGTCTTAGCGGCCGGTATCCTTGTCTGCTTCTCGATATTGGCCTTGATGTCCAGGATTGAGGTGTTTAGGGGTTGAGAAGTGAGCTTGATGCTCAGGGGAGGGTTACGAAGCGACTTGAGTGACACAGTGATGCTTCGTTCGGAACCGGGAGCGAGATTGTTGGGTTTCCTCATGGCCTTGGGCATGCGGGGGATGATGTACTGGAGCTGGCATTAGCATATGTTCTGGAGGAAGAGTATCAAGTCCGTACAGGTGGCCGAGCAGGATAAGTCTTGGGGTCTTCGACATGGTCGGCAGAGAGTCGGACAGGCCGCGACTCTAGCGACGCCAGAAATGTTTGGGCGAAAGCGGTCTCAGACATGATGATGGCTTCGTTGTGGTAGACTGCTAGGTCGACGGAGGCGAGGTTGAGCGACGATAATGAATGGAGGGGTGAGAAAGTTGGAGGATATTAGAGGTAGTATTTCGAATGTATAGGGCTCTAAAAGTATACTGAAGATGCTATGGGTCTCTAACTCGCAGTAATGGAAACTGTTCAATAGTTAGTAGGTTCTAGCCAGCTTCATCAACTATCGTCATTGAACACACCCAACAGAGCAAGCTCAAGCTGCCCCACCAACGATTACATAAGGCACTTTTCCCGCGATCCGATACGAAGTTCTGCCGCTTATCGGACCCTGGTAATCGCAGCGCGCGCAGAAAAAAGTTTCGGCGGGGCGCGATCTATTGTAACTTTTCCTAGGCCCAAGAACCAAGACCAGATCTGTTTTGCATCTCGGTCGAACTAATTTCTTGACAACCTTTCAATTGTTGTTCGTTTCACTTCAAAATGGGTGTTGGACGTCGTATGAAGAAGCAGGGTCCTCCTCAACCCCTTTCCGAGGAACACTTTGCAAAACTTAAGCGCAAGGCCGGTCTACCTGTCGATCCCGTCGTCGAGGCGCCCGAGAAGAAGAAGCGAAAGACCAACACAAAGGAGAGGACGGTCATCGAGCCCAAGAGAAATGGCGTCGCCGCTAAGAAGGATGTCAAGAAGACAAAAGTTGCCAAGTCTGCAAAGGCTGCGGCGCCTGCTCCAGAGCCAAAGGCCAATGGCAAGGTGAAGAAGAGCAAGAAGGCCCCGGCGCCGGCGCTGGAGGACGTGTCCGATGAGGAGATGGACGATGAGTTTGACCTTGAAGATCTCGAGGACGATTCAGATCTGGAGGGCGGCGCCGGACTCGGCGACGATTTCCTCGGCTCAGACGACGATGACTCTGTATTCGACTCTGACGAAGATGCTGGAGGCAAGAACACGAAAGCTATGTTCTCTGAGGACGAGGACGAGTCCGACGCCGAGGAGAAACTCACAGCCGCCAACATCGCGGGTCTTTCGAGGAAATTGGATGCTCAAATGGCAGAGGAAGCTGCCGAAGCTGAGGCTGAGATGGCACAAGAGGCTCTCCAGACCAACATCCACGGAGACAAGCCTCACATTCTGTCTGACGAAGACAGCGACGATGAGCTCTCAAAGAAGACAAACGCCCTCCTAGCCCCCGACTTGCAACTTCTGCGCACAAGAATCACCGAAACCATCCGCGTCCTCGACGACTTCACCAACCTGTCCGAGGAGGGACGTTCAAGAGTCGAGTATACATCACAACTTATCAAGGATATTTGCTCATACTATGGCTACTCTGAGTATCTCGCTGAGAAGCTCTTCAACCTCTTCACCCCTCGCGAGGCTTTTGCTTTCTTTGAGGCTAACGAGTCAGCCCGTCCTGTCGTCATTCGCACAAACACTCTGCGCACTCATCGTCGTGATCTCGCCCAGGCTCTTATCAACCGTGGCGTTACTCTTGAGCCCGTCGGAAAGTGGTCCAAGGTTGGTCTCCAGGTCTTCGAGAGCAGCGTACCCCTCGGTGCTACTCCTGAGTATCTTGCCGGTCACTACATTCTCCAAGCTGCCTCCTCTTTCTTGCCCTGCATGGCTCTCGACCCCCAGGAGAACGAGCGCGTGCTTGATATGGCCGCTGCTCCCGGTGGAAAGACTACTTACATGGCTGCTATGATGAAGAACACCGGCATCGTCGTGGCCAACGATCCTAACAAGGCTCGTGCTAAGGGTCTCATCGGTAACATTCACCGTCTTGGAACGCGCAACGTCATTGTCTCAAACTATGATGCCCGTGAGTTCCCCAAGCCTATGGGCGGCTTCGACCGTGTTCTTCTCGATGCTCCCTGCTCTGGAACTGGTGTTATTGCAAAGGATCCTAGTGTCAAGACCAACAAGACAGAGCGCGACTTCATGCAACTCCCCCATATTCAAAAGCAGCTTGTTCTCGCCGCCATCGACTCAGTCAACCATAGCTCCAAGACGGGCGGTTACATTGTTTACTCAACCTGTTCCGTCACCGTCGAGGAGAACGAACAAGTCGTTCAATACGCCCTCTCTCGTCGCCCGAATGTTCGCCTCGTCGATGCTGGTCTCGCATTTGGAAAGGAGGGCTTCACCAGCTACATGGGCAAGAAGTTCGATCCCTCTATGCGCCACACCCGCCGATACTACCCTCATACCTACAACGTGGACGGTTTCTTTGTTGCCAAGTTCCATAAGATCGGCCCCACGCCCGCCAACGCGTCCAACGCTCGTGACCGTTCTACTGGCCCCGCTGATGAAGACGAGGTCATCGACAGAACGCCTATCGCCACAGATGATGAGGAGACAGGCAAGACGAAGCCCGACGACGACTTTGGCGGCTGGGACGAGGAAGAGGATAAGGAGTACATGGAGAAGGGACGAAGGAATGCCATGCGCCGAAGGGGTCTGGATCCTAAAAGTAACAGCAAAAAGGCAAAGAAGGAGAAGGAGATGACGAAGCAGAAGTAGATACCAACTGCTCGACCATTCGCGGGAGTTTCTTTTTCTAAAAATGGATATGAGTTTGACGACTATTAGTGTTGTTCACGTAGAGGGTTTTTTATATTGTACGCTAGATAATAAACAAAAGTGTTTGGAGTCCATTCATATCACGACAGTTTCAACTGCAAGGAGCATTCTCGTTCTGTTATAGGCATCTCATTTGATATAAAATCTAACTAGAACACAAAAGAAATGAACAAAAGAATGTTGTGGGTAATAAAGCAGGTCGTAAAGTTCATCTCGTCATTAAATAGCCCAGCTTCCCAGCCGTAAGGGGGTTTGCCGCTGGCTGCCATTTTTTTCTATCATTCCCCAGAACCCAAAGCCAGCCCAACCCTTTTTTGCCATATAGTACATGGTCGTCATCAATATCCCTTTGGCGCTGGCAAGAAAAAACAAAACAAAATAGTGCAACAAAAATATCAAAAAACCAGAGTGAGTCATGTCGACCCAAACCACCCGGGGTATCCAGCCGTAATCCCTTTCATGACCATCAGTTGTTTGTTCCATAAATCGTGTAGGTGACTCTGCCATATTGTGTGTATCCACAACTGCTCGGCATGGTGAGTGTGCGTATTACAAGTTGTTGCTTAACGGTGATGCCGAAGAAGGGTAAAGAGCCGCGAGGCTCGAGTTTTCTCACATAGCCAAATCGTCAAACTGCGAGACAAGCTCGCGTATCGTCCAACGCCAAGTTTCGCGATCTCTGGATCCTCGGCCGATCCATTTCTCGCACTTCTTCCTCCACCGATCTTCTTCTTCTCGTTGTCGCCTGATGAATTCAGGCCCAACGTCAAATTCCTCGCCGACGAGCCACTCATCCTTGATATCGCTAACGCGACCCTGGGCGCCCTCATCGTCGGCAGTGTTATCTTCCAGATCAGGGATATCCTTGAAAACGTCTTCGTCGTCCAGCGCGTCGAAGCCATCCATAGTGTCGCTGGTCTCAGAGGTAGGTTTAGCAGGAGTATCAAGTTTAAGCCAGCACATGTTCTGTGGATCAAAAACCATGCCACCGACAACTTGAACGCCCTTGGTGGCGCTAATATTGGTAATGAGTGCAGGACGAGGTGTCGACGTTTCCTTCTCGCGGGTATTGCTTGAGACAACAGCCTGAGTAGGTGTTTGTACAGGGGGTTCAAAAACATTGAGGGCGTTCTCATTGCCTTCCCATCTGTAGGTATCTGCATTGTAGAACATACCATTCACCACTAGTTTTTGTTAGCGATAGTATCAACGCGAGGTCTGGTAAGCTTACTCTTCGACTCTTTGCCACTGTTCAAGTTTGAGATTAGGTGTGGCTTGGTCTGTTGTGGTCGCTTGTGCTTTCTCGATCGAATGTTTGACTGAGGGATGGTAGGAGTCAGATTGCCTCGCGATGAGAGGTGAGCGACACGCTGGGAGCTTAGAGGCGTCAATGGGCCACTGCTAGGTACCCGTTGAGCCAGCGCAGTCTCCCGGGCAATTCTACTTGCAGCAGTGTCACGAGCAAAGTGAGGAGTGAAAGATGGTCGAGGGGTAGGAGGGATTGATGGAGACATGGTAGTGTTCCTGTCTGGCAGAACATTTTGGTACAGCTTGTTACGCAAAGCAACTTTTGGTCCTGAGCTAGTCGGTTGCTTCAGGTACCTCGTCTCAGTTTCTTTAGATGTGGGCAAATCATCAAAGCCGTCCAGTTCGTGGCCATCGCCGAAGTTCTTTTTGTTCTTTGGCTTGCTCAGACGCTCCCAAGTATCGGCAGTGGCGCGGTGACGATGGTTCGGACTGGGTGATCGCATTGTCGATCGGGAAAGTGTACGAGAGTTGGGGCGGAGGTCAATAGAACCGATAGAATTGTCTGAATCATGTCGACGGAATCCGCGAGTCTGCTTGGTAGCAACGTGCTGTGACTGTGACTGAGAAGCGCCGGCAGGCAGAAATGGCAGGTGAGACTTGCGGACGGTTGCCGGGCTATCTGTCGTTCCATGTCGCTGACGTTCCGTGGGAGTCTTTGGCCTCACAGCAGACGATGGTCGATTGTTCTCCGACCTTGAAGGAGGTCTCTCATGACGGTAGGAAGGCTGCTTGGCCGGTCCACGAATTACAGGTAGAGAGCGTTTCTGCTTAAGGAGCTGAGCACTAGTGGTTGTAGGCTCAGTTCGAAGTGAATTTGTAGAGGTGCGAAGATTAACCTCCCTCCTGCGTGGAGTGGGCGGCAGTCCATGAGATGGCGAGGTTGTAGTGGGAGTTGGCAGGCTGACGATAGAGGATTGGGATGAGTGACCCAATCTAGAATGAGAGCGACGAGTGCGCTGCGGGATGGGACCGCCACTCTCAGAGACAGGCTCCAGCGATGTTGAGTGTGTTCGCTCATGGTGGTTCAACCGAGGTATCCGAGTTGAATTGAGTGGTTTGTGTGTAAATGTGAGCGACACTGCCGCTTTGGGTCGAGCAGGACTCGCCGGTCGTGTTTCCTTGACTCTGACATTCTTGTGTAGAGTGAGCTTGCTCGAATCAAAGACATCTCCTTCGCCGAGGTCAAGACCGTCAAGAAAATCAGGCTTATCGGCCTCAGCTGCTGGGATCTTCTTTGCGGGTACAATAGGTTCTTCAGAGATGCGGTTGGGCGATCGACTCTTCCGCCTCTGCTGAAGCCTCTCAGTCCAGTTGACAGGCCCTGGGGGAAGGACAAGTCCATCAAAGGTTTCATCCTCACTTTCAGCAGTGATGGAACTTGACACACTTGGGCTAAGCGCAGAAGCCGCCGAGCTTCGGGCAGAGCGAGCGTCTCGCCTGGTCCCACCATATCGAGTGCCCAAGCTTCCTTCTCCCCAGTCCAGATCCTCTGACTGGTTGGACGGTGTCTTGGGGATCTCCTTTCTGGTGGAAAGTTTAAGTTTTCCGTCTGATGGAAGCTCAAGATCCATCTCGAAATCATCCTCCGGGTTGGAGGTTTTGGCTTCTCTCTGAGGAGTAGGTGGTGTGATAAAAGAAACAGGTTTTGGAAGTTGACGGTTCTTGGAGGCTCTAATAGTATCTCCTCCGTCTCCAAAAAAGTCGTCGTCATCAGCGTCTTTAAATCTATCCAGATTTATGGCGGCAGAAAGACTACTTGTGGCAGACTGAATAGACTGCATGCTTTGTATAGACTGGATTGATTGAGTAGACTCACGTCGGTTGACTTTGTCAAACGGAGAAGTAGGGGGTGAGTTGCCCCAGCTCATAGGGCTAGTATGTGTAGATCCAAAGCTGACATGTCGCGAGGTCTCGGGAGACTTGGGTGGCTCTGGCTTCTTCATCTTCAAGCCCTGTGAAGAGTCAGGGATCTCTAGGTCGTTCTCCCAATCGTCTTGAATGATCTTGCGAATCTTTCGTCCACCGAGACGTTTGATAGTCCCTCCCATAAGAGCAGAAGATGGAACATTTAATGGTAATGGGATGCCGGCACTTTGGGCTGCGGCGATGGCATCCAGCGTTGACTTCTCGTCATCTCCCGGGATATGGACATGTTGCTCTTCTTCTCCTTCAAGTTCAGATCTAAATGAAAAGTGGGATGACCCAGAATCGCGTCGTCTTGAAGAGGATGGTCGTGAAGGATTGTTTGTGGCAGTAGATGGGCTGCGGAAGGATAAATCGTCGCCTTCTACCACGAAGTCATCGTCGTCCCAATTCTCTATGTCGGCCTCGATGGGCTGTCTGGGCTTAAGTCGCAAGGGCTCCATGGTAGTGAATGTGCTGCTGTATGTAGTACGCAATCTATATTCTGAGGCCAAAGTTTGGCAAATCGTGTTGGTTGGCCTGGCTGTTGGGGACGCGATGTCAATTGCGTGTAGTCATTATTGTCAATGGCAATTGTTCCCCGCATACAATAGCATATCCTTCAAGCGTGACAATGTGACGTTTGAGGAGAAAGCTGCGTCAAGAAAAGTAGACAAAAAAAAAATCGACGAATCGTAGGAAAGGGCTTCGCGAATGGTGCAGATGCGTTTGTAGTCGCTTTGTGCGAATCGCTGATCAAGTATTCAAATGTGCGAGAAGAAGCGAAGCGAAATGTGTTGATAATAGTAACAAAGAAAACCGTCGACAAGTCGCCGTGTATTGCGAGCGGGTGGACAAACAAAAACCAAGATCGACACAGGAAAAGCTCGTTCGAAGAGGGAAACCGAATTTGATATCTGTAGGTGAGGATTTTTTTGATGGTCGAGAGGGTGACGTGCGAGACAGGATGCAAAGGTCAGGAATGCGGTCGGCGGTGGATGAGGTGGATTGGTTTGTTTAGTTTGGGCTCTAGGTTTGGTGGGTGACTGACTGAGGTGAGGTGCTCTGTGAATCACAACTGCACTCCACTCCCCGTCCACTCCAGCTTGGTAGAGAAATGGAAGGCTGGGGGGTAACTCTGAGCGTGGCTGGAGGTGGTCCCCGCTAGCTGTTAAGGGACGTACCCACTGTAGCCATCAGTTGCTGGGCACTGTTATCGCTAGAGGTGGCTCCACACAGGACACCTGGACAAGTGGTCAGCTCTTGGCTGCTGCGCTATTTAAGCACTACGCCCGAATGCTTACAGGCGCTACACCTGAAAAGGACTCTCCTGGACGGACCAGAATGTGACCAGACCTTTGGAGGAAAATTCGGAGGCAGGTTTGGAGTGGTTACACGTGACTGCTGTTGCACAAACCAGTTTATTAGCTGCGAAAGCAATGCAGGTGGGATTCTTGCTTGTGGAAGCAGAACCGTTTGAGGCGAGAGGAACCGCCCGATTGGCCAAACCTTCACGCGTCATAGTCGCGACAAGTCGAAGTTTTCTTCTCAGGACGTCACCAGTTTGCGTTTGGTGGCTGGTTGCTTAAGAGCCAGCTCCGTCAGCTTAATTCAGCTTGTTTTCCAAGCTTTTCGCCTCCATATCTTGTGCCTGGCGTGCCTGGACGATCTTGGGTGATCTCACAAAGGTAAAAACCTGAACACACCACACCCCTGGCTATTATTATTATTATATTATGATGATGATCTGGTCGTCCCCATGCCACTGTCCCGCATAGATTAACCTCCCTCCAACATGTCTCGTCGAGAATATTAGTATACGATTATATACCGGCTTCTCACTCCACCAGCCAGTTCTAGGCACGATCTCATGCCTGAGATTTCTGAAGTTGAAGCCCATCGAGGGAAGGCCGCTAGTAAATGTTCCAGCTGTAAGAGGCGTCTTGCAAGACACAAATAGGTATCCATAGGCTCTTTTACGGGACTGGTTCATCCAGACTTGGGCTTATGGAATGGGTCACGGTTACGAACAACGCCAACATTTTTTTTCATACTTCACCGATATTGAGTTTTACAATGGTATTTATACTGTTAATAGATTGATTGATCTAAAGGATCATCAAAGGATCAGCACTTTGTAAACTAAGGTACCTAACTAACCGGACAAGGCCAAAATTCTTGGTCCCAGCTTACACTGGCCGAGGTTGATTCACAGTACTCCGTAGGTACCTCATGTTCCTGAAGCGGATCCATCCATGTGGCTCGGAGGTGCCTAGAGGCTAGAGCTGCCCTGAATAGGCCTCGCCTAAAATGAGTTGCAGCCTGTAGCCAACCGCTCCAGCTTCATTGTACATGAATGCATTCCGCGAATGGCTCCAGGTGGAACGGCTGCCTACACCAAATCAACTTATTAAATAACATGGAGAAACGTAAACTTTAACAACACCAAAGAATTCCTCTCTTTCTCTTATCATTTCCCGCCTGTGGGACGATCTTTTGAGCTACGCCCAAGCCCCCTTTCTATATAAGCAGAGCTTCACGGATCGCTCAAAGGGAAATGGTCCAAGCACCACCAACAAACAAGCTTACACAACAACAAAGAAGCTGATGGAGCGAACCCGATACCCAGTTTGAGGTTCTCTATATAATACTCTCGTCAATATTATCGCTCTTTTTCCATTCTCAACTCTTCTCCAATCAGGCATTCCCTTGACGCTCGAATCTCGCCAAGACCGCATATATAGGTAGCTCCAAACGGATACGTACTTTGATACTTGATTCAAAGCCCCCATTCCTCAAACAAGCCAGCTTTCAAACGCTGATCTCCTCGGCCCGTATACCGTGTCTCACTCGCTTCTTTGACAAGGGAGTTAAAACGCTCCATCAAAGATTCTTCCCGAGGCGCCCCGTCATCTGGTATCATTCCACCGACCTCAATCTGAACCCCAGGTCTCGACAGCCACACGAGTCTCACTGGACCCCTTCTACCGGGACCTGTCGTGTCCAATGGCTTCTGAAGCTCGAGTCCTCAAGGTCCCCCGGAGTGACGACAAGTCTTCCTTTGTCCTTTTACAAGCCACACCCAAGGGTTCAAAGCAACTTGATTTGAAGCTGGTGGGTACTGAAGGAGAGGAACCTTACGTCGCATCCTGTAAGTCATTCCGTTAACCCTCCCTCCAGTATCGCACTCTGGGAGACCCTTGTCTGCAATCTCCAGCACTGGCGCGAACGTGATCAACTTTTTGATCCCTGAGTCTGACTTTGTTGATAGTGAAACATGATAAGGTCGTGTCTCTCCGTGTGAAGAATTGTCCTGCTTCAGAGAGCGAATGGCAGCAGATTCTCGAAGACTTGTTTCAGCAGGTACCCCTTCCAGATATTCAAGCCACAGCCACGGTCCAGAGCGAAAAGTCTATCTCAATCACCATTCGAAAGGACATACAGGGTATCACTGTGAGACCATGATGCCATTTAAAACATGGTCTTTTTACTAACCGTCTTAGCAACGTCTGGGCTCAATCACCCTCGATCATGATCCAGATGAGGCCATTGAGTTATTCGATTGGTGTGGTGCAGCGGTCGAGGCCTCTACCTCAAGTAAAGAAACTGCGGCAAACCTGTCGGCAAAATCCTCCGAGTCGGAGGCTGTTGTGGCCCAGCTCCAGTTACAGCTGGAAGAGTTAATCAAAGCGAAGGAAGAGGATGAAACAGCGTTGCTGAGGAAGTTCAGGGATCTCATCAACGAGAAGAAGCTCAGAATTCGTGAACAGCAGCAAGTATTAAACACATTATCAACAAATCCCAGCATGGCGGGTCAATCTCAGCGTTCCCAGGCTGTCGAAGCCTCTGTTCAGCAACCGAAACCAAAGAAGCCTATTCGTCAAGCTGGCAAGTCAAGGGCGTCGAAAAGAAAGGCTCCTGCGTCAAGAAGACTTGAAGAATCAGACGACGATGACGCTGTTGACACGATGAGCGTCGACCTTAAGCAGGAGGCCGTGGATACGGATCCCGGAAACACCACAGAAGCGACAGCATCCGGTGATAGTGACGACGAAGATGACGATGGGCTTGACTCAGGACCCCCTCAGCAGAACAAAGCGCCATATGCTGTTTCACGAGGAAAGACTGCTTCCAGAGAGAGCGAAAGACCGCCGCCACCGCGAGCTCTCCCGTTCGAGACAAAGAAGTCGACAAATGTTGCACCTGTGCCCGCTCCTGCAGGGAGTGACACTGAATCTGACGATGAGCTGTGAATGATGACTGATGACAGTTCGCTGGTATAGCGTTGTGCATTGTGTTCTCCGAAGTTTATGTATATGAATTTCATTTCTTGGTTGTTGCGCAGCCGGTATCGGCAAGCCACTATTATATACGTACAGTTCACCCTCATACCTTAGGTAGCATAGGTACCAAGTTGCAAGACCGGCCACGAACAAATGAGGTCACGCCTTTCGTACACATTCAGTCGTCATTGATGTAACGAATTGCCGCCGTCTTTTCTGTATTGAGCATACGCAGCATTACAGTGACATGAACTAGCCTAGCGCAACTCAAAAACAAAACCGAGTCCCAAGGTGGGCAGGATAAAGAATACATACCAGCAATAAGTATCTAACAACTCATGAGTGTTTTTAAATTGGAACATTATTAACAAATAAAATGTGTCTCTCAAGAACGTTTCAGAACAGAGTTCGAATGCTCTATCATCTACTACCGAGTATGCCCAGCCAAGTCTAGAGCACCCTCTTAGACGTTTGGTCACGATACTGGTGGTTACAATTGCGTAGAATCTACAACCCACTCCATATTAATAATACGGCAATACATGCTACTTAGTAACTCACCTCCTCCTTACCCCATCCTCATACATATCGTTATAAATCACGGAATTGTACCGCCGCAAGTCACCATATCAAACCCGAGGGTGGGGGAGGAGATCAAGTATCGGTACAAGGAAGGGGAACCACCTATTTAAACCGACGCGACAGTGTACATGCTCTCGGCGGCAATCACCCTTCTTCATACCAATTTTCTCGCTCTAGACTCTGGGCTTCTGAAGATTTGACTAATTCATACCTGAAACACATTCCTCGCTCACTAAATTTGAGAAATACCGCCAAGATGGGCAGTGTCGCTACGAAGGATGTCCCCACCTACAAACTCAATGACGGCAATGAGATTCCGGTTGTAAGTTTATCCTCTTTATTTCCGAGAGAACATTGAACGGACCAAATCATCTTCGATACGGAACACCACTCACAATCATTAGCTAGCTTTCGGTCTGGGAACAGCTCAGTATAAGAAAGATCCTCAGAGTGGACTCGACCAGCATGTAGTCGACATCACCACCAAGGCTATCAAGACTGGATATCGCCATCTAGACGGAGCCGAGGGTGAGCAGAACAAAGTATCACGCCGTGGCCACATCTGACAAATCTACAGTATATGGCAACGAAGAGGAGCTTGGGCAAGCCATCAAGGCTGGCGGTGTCCCTCGGGAGCAGCTCTATGTCACCACCAAGATCCCTGCTGAGAAGAAGGGGTCTGCTATTGACTCTTTCAATGTTTCTCTCCAGAAGCTAGGTCTGGAGTATGTGGATCTCTACCTGATTCACGGCCCTTGGTTCGCCGAAACCGATGAGGACCTGCAGCAGCGCTGGGCTGAGTTGGAGCAGATCAAGGAATCTGGCAAGGCAAAGTCTATTGGTGTTTCCAACTTCCTCCAGTCGCACCTTGAGGCTGTTCTCAAGACCGCCAAGATCAAGCCTGTTATCAACCAAATTGAGTACCACCCGTATCTCCAGCACGGCGATCTTGTTGACTTTCACAAGAAGCACAATATTGCCGTTTCTGCTTACGGCCCCCTTACTCCTATTGTTACTGCTAGGGGCGGACCTGTCGACCCTTTCTACACAAAGTTGGCTGAGAAGTACGGCGTGACCGAAAGTGAGGTCGGTCTTCGATGGGTCATTGACCAAGACATCATTGCGCTTACAACAAGCAACAAGGTTGAGCGACTTGAGGGATACTTGGCTAAGCTACCTAAATTCAAGTTGACACAGGATGAGATTGCTGAGATCTCTCGACTCGGTGCCAAGAAGCATTTCCGTGGGTTCTGGAGGAACAAGTTTGATGAGAATGATAGGTCCTAGGAGAAGGTTTGGTGGTCTGTTTGTCGTTTCGTGTCAGATAGATATAGTCACCTGTTTTAGCTGGGCGAGTTGCCATCAAAATCTCTCTTAATAAGCTCCTAATTCTAGGGCTTAACTTTGATGGAAGGTTCCGATATCTGAAGTACGTCTCGGTTCTTTTAAGTTTGCTGACAGACTATCTATAAAAAAGGAGGACTTGGTCTTTCACATCATCTCCTTCACGCCATTTGAAAAGTTCGATCTGGGGGATTAGGAGTTCGATAGATAGGGCGTTTCTGTACGGATGACCCGAACTCCTTAGAGAAACTATGTCAATGATGAACCAAGGTCTATTCGCTCATATAATCAAAGCCCATAGGGACTGATTACGAGTGGTAACCACTAACTGAGACTTCTTTCAGCTTTTATTACGATTCTAAAACCCCAGAGAGCAATGTTCATGTCGTTCTAATTGCACCATGTTCAGCGATTAGCTGAAGATACAGGGTAGCTCGCCAACGTGAAGAGACTGATCAAGTGGTCGGCCAATGCAGCTCTTAAAACTACTCTAATTTATCGGAGTCATTTTGATTCCACATACTCTCTTGCGTCGTGTAAATGAAGTTGAATGGCGGCCCGGTTCCGTCTTACATGCGTCCGAATAAACGGGGCCTGCTCTACCGAACAGTCAGTCCTGTCAGATCTGGATCGTGGGGCGGCCCTCGGGGGGGCAAGAAAACACAAGACCTTGATATAAGGTGTCAAAATAAACTCGGCAAAAGATATCCTAAATTTATATCAAGTTACCTGAGTCTTTTTATCACTTAGGGTTAAGGTCCTGAGTTTTCTTTCCTCCCCTAGGGCGGCACCGAGGCCCCGGAGCGGAAACTAGAGGTGATGTCAAGATAGACGATGATAACCGTCAGTAATTGCCACTTTTGTCACCCAAGCACCGTCACATCGCTATGAACCATTGAAATGTCGCCTTCGTTAATGTCTACATAGATGATTCCAAATCCTTACACACTCCCTACAAATCCATCTCTTCCCTAAACATAACGTCCCGCCGTTGATGCTCTGTCGCAACGCCCTATGTAGAGCTGTCCCGCGCTCACCACCAGCATCACATCTACCAAGACTCGCACAAATGGCTGCCCATATTTCTAACGGCAATGGCGCATTATCGCCGGCGTCTAGCTACGAAGGCGCGACACTTGCGGATCTTCCCAAGTCATGGCATTTGACCGAATCTCTTCCCGCCGATTCCATTTTCCCAACGCCTGCCGACTCCCACAAAACTCCTCGGGATCAGATCACACCCCGGCAAGTTCGCAATGCCGTATACACGTGGGTCCGGCCAGCCGAGCAGAAGGATCCGGAGCTTCTGGCCATCAGCCCAGCGGCGTTGCGCGATTTGGGAATCAAGTCTGGTGAAGAGTCGACCGATGACTTTAGGCAGCTAGTAGCTGGTAACAAGTTATATGGCTGGGATGAAGAGAAGCTCGAGGGAGGATATCCCTGGGCCCAGTGCTATGGAGGCTTCCAATTCGGACAATGGGCTGGCCAACTAGGCGATGGCAGGGCCATTTCTCTTTTTGAGACCACCAACCCTGCGTCTCGTGAGCGCTATGAGCTCCAACTCAAGGGTGCTGGCATGACACCCTACTCACGGTTCGCTGATGGAAAGGCGGTCCTACGATCCAGTATCCGAGAGTTCATTGTCTCGGAAGCACTCAATGCCCTCAAGATCCCCACTACTAGAGCGCTATCACTTACGCTTCTGCCAGATTCAAAGGTTCGTCGAGAGACGATTGAGCCGGGGGCCATCGTTCTGCGTTTTGCACAGTCGTGGTTGCGTCTTGGTAACTTTGATATCCTTCGAGCTAGAGGAGACCGTAAGCTTATTAGACAACTGGCCACATACATCGCCGAGGACGTATTTGGTGGCTGGGATAAGCTGCCAGGTCGACTTGAAGACCCTGAAGAGCCTGTTAAATCACTGGATCCCAAGCGTGGAGTTTCTTCTGAGACTATTGAAGGAGAAAATGGTTCCGAAGAGAACAGATTTACGAGGTTGTATCGTGAAATTGTACGGCGCAATGCCAAAGTGGTGGCCCACTGGCAAGCGTATGGGTTTATGAATGGTGTTTTGGTACGTTGTTCATAACTGCGAAATAGAACCCCTGCTGACCTACAACAGAACACGGACAACACCTCGATCTACGGGCTTTCAATAGATTTTGGTCCATTTGCTTTCATGGACAATTTTGATCCTGCTTATACACCCAATCATGATGATTACACCCTTCGCTATAGTTACAGAAACCAACCCACCATTATCTGGTGGAACCTCGTTCGCTTTGGCGAGGCCATCGGTGAACTCATGGGCGCAGGCCCCAATGTTGACGATACAACTTTTGTCAACGAAGGCGTTACCAAAGAGCAAGAGGCTGAAGTAGTGGCAAGGGCCGAGAAGCTTATTACACAGGCTGGAGAAGAGTACAAGGCAGTGTTCCTCGCAGAGTACAAACGACTCATGACTGCTCGTCTCGGTCTCAAGACACACAAGGACTCTGACTTTGATATCCTTTTCAGTGAGGCTCTCGACACTCTGGAGGCCCTGGAGCTTGACTTTCACCACTTCTTTCGTCGTCTCAGCAAGCTTAAGTTGCAGGATACCGCCACGAGAGAAGCACGGAACGAGAAGGCGTCTGTCTTCTTCCACAAAGAAGGGCCCCCAACAACTATTTCCGAAGAGGATGCCAGAGCGCGTCTTGCGATCTGGCTTGAAAGCTGGCGCGAGCGTATCATCGAAGATTGGAAGGACGAGGGAGGGAACGTCTCAGAATCTACAGACGGCGACAGAATCGAGGCGATGAAGCGAGTGAATCCCAACTTCGTTCCTCGCGGTTGGATCCTTGATGAGCTCATCCAACGCGTTGAGAAGGGTGGCGAGCGAGATGTGCTTAACCGCGTCATGCACATGTCTCTCAACCCATTCGAAGATCGCTGGGATGGGGAGACATTCAATGGAAAGACGTACAATGGCGATAAAGATGAGGAGCGTCGATGGACAGATGATCCCCCAAAGACCGAGCGAGCTATGCAATGCAGCTGCAGTTCATAGATGACTACATGGGCCCAAAATGGAGACGCGCACACTTTTTGATGCATGAAGAAATTACGACTACTCTGAGTATTTGGTTGGTGGTATGTAACGACCGGCGGTAAGAGGCAGCGGTCATGGAGATTGGTTACTCTTCCATGCTTCCATAAACGGCGTAAATATTGATCTTGAGCACAAGATAGAGGAAGACTCGACTGAAGCAACAGCTCTACCGAAGTAGATCTGTTGCGCAAGCTCACCTACAATAAAATGTGCCCGTGTACAATTAATTTGGTAGGAGAAGAAAAATTCAAAAAGCTCCAGCAGCAAAATGCAAAATATGAGGTAGGATCCAGTGCTGTGGCCTGAGGCAGGCAGAAATCGACACTGGCCAATGAGCATTAACGTAAATTAATCGCGGACTAGCGCCACTAAATCCATCACCCGAACAGCAGGTTCCCTTTCGAGACGTCAACGACTGAGCATATATTCGCCGCCAGCGACCCTGCAACCCTTTTCATCTTCCCTCCGTCAAGGCGACACGATGCTCCGAAATACTCTAGCACGTTCGGCTTGGCGGACGAGCCGGCGGGCGGTCAATGTCTCGCGAACCTTCGCGACGACAAGCCAGCGCCCGGCCGAGGTGGAGCTGACAATTGGTGAGCATCTTTGTGCATAGAGCCATTGACAACGATATAGAGGCTAACCTTGTTGCTAGATGGAAAGAAGGTTTCGATTGAAGGTATGATGGGTTGTTTGACTGTATTTATGGGCGCCTATTGACGGAATTGTAGCTGGTTCTGCTCTTATTCAAGCCTGCGAGAAGGCGGGATCAACAGTCCCTCGGTATGTCAAGATGGTTCGTGCCAAGCTTGAATAGCCTAGCTAACTCTTTCTAGATACTGCTACCACGAGTGCGATACCCTCGAATCCTCCCACGATCGATTCATCGCTGACAATGCTTCAGGAAGCTTATGATTGCCGGTAACTGCCGAATGTGTCTGGTGGAGGTTGAGAGGGCCCCGAAGCCCGTTGCCTCTTGTGCTTGGCCCGTACAGCCCGGAATGGTTGTCAAGACTAACTCCCCTCTGACCCACAAGGCCCGAGAGGGTGTCATGGAGTTTTTGCTGGCTAACCATCCCCTCGATTGTCCTGTTTGTGATCAGGGTGGTGAGTGTGATCTTCAAGATCAGTCTATGCGTTATGGAGCCGACCGAGGCCGATTCCACGAGATTGGCGGCAAGCGAGCCGTCGAGGACAAGAACATTGGCCCCCTGATCAAGACTTCGATGAACCGATGTATTCACTGCACCCGATGCATTCGTTTCTCCAACGATATTGCCGGAGCTCCGGAGATGGGTTCCACTGGCCGTGGCAACGATATTCAGATTGGCACCTATCTCGAAAAGAACCTGGACTCCGAGATGTCTGGTAACGTTATCGACCTCTGCCCCGTTGGTGCTCTTACGTCAAAGCCCTATGCTTTCCGAGCTCGTCCTTGGGAGTTGAAGCACACCGAGTCTATTGACGTTCTCGATGGTCTTGGTTCCAACATCCGTGTCGACTCCCGTGGTTTGGAGGTCATGCGAATTCTGCCCCGACTTAACGACGACGTGAACGAGGAGTGGATCAACGACAAGACCCGATTTGCCTGTGACGGCCTCAAGACTCAGCGATTGACCATGCCTCTGGTCCGCCGTGAGGGTCGCTTCGAGCCTGCTGATTGGGAGGAGGCTCTCACTGAGATTGGTCGTGCTTATCAGATTAAGAACCCTCAGGGCAACGAATTCAAGGTCATTGCTGGTGCTCTTACTGAGGTCGAGTCTCTGGTCGTCGCCAAGGATATGGCCAACAAGCTTGGCTCTGAGAACCTGGCTCTCGATACCCCTACCGGGAGCCAACCCATCGCCCACGGTATTGATGTCCGATCCAACTTCCTTTTCAATTCTCAGATCTGGGGTATTGAGGAGGCTGATGCAATCCTAATTGTTGGCAGCAACCCTCGGCACGAGGCTGCCGTTCTCAATGCTCGTATCCGAAAGCAGTGGCTCCGATCCGACCTTGAGATCGGTGTTGTTGGCGAGACATGGGACTCCACATTCGAGTTCGAGCACTTTGGTACCGACCACGCTGCTCTCAAGTCCGCTCTCTCTGGCCCCTTCGGAGAGACCCTTAAGAATGCCAAACGACCTATGATTATTGTTGGCTCTGGTGTTACTGACCACGCGGATGCCAAGGCATACTACGAGACCATTGGTGCTTTCGTTGATAAGCATGCTTCTAACTTCCGAACTGAGGAGTGGCAGGGCTACAACGTCCTCCAGCGTGAGGCTTCTCGTGCTGGTGCTTTTGAAGTTGGCTTCACTACTCCCTCTGCTGAGGTTGCCCAGACCAAGCCCAAGTTCGTGTGGCTCCTTGGTGCTGATGAGGTGAACGAGGCAGATATCCCTAAGGACGCTTTTGTTGTCTACCAGGGTCACCACGGTGACAAGGGTGCTCAGATTGCTGACATTGTCCTTCCCGGTGCTGCCTATACTGAGAAGGCTGGTACCTACATAAACACTGAAGGTCGTGTCCAGATGACACGAGCTGCTACTTCCCTCCCCGGTGCATCTCGAACTGACTGGAAGATTCTCCGAGCTGCCAGTGAGTTCCTTGGCGCTCCTCTCCCATATGACGATGTTGCCATGGTCCGAGACCGTATGGTCGAAATCAGCCCTGCTCTGGCTGCTTATGACGTTATCGAGCCCGTCGCTCTCCCTGCTCTGAGCAAGGTCCAGCTCGTCGACCAGAACAAGGGTGCCCAGGTCACCGGAACACCTCTCAAGAAGGTTATTGACAACTTCTACTTCACCGATGTTATCTCACGAAGGTATGTGAAATCGATTCAGTATTTAGTAAATTTTCCTATTAACATTATGCCTAGCTCTCCTACAATGGCTCGCTGCTCAGCCGCTAAGGCCACGGGTGACCCTAGGACAAACTTTATGGCTCCTGGCGTGGAGGAGGATAAGCCCATGGGCCAGGTCGAGTACGGTGTATGAGGCGGTGGCTGCAAAAGAATAGAAATATTTACTTTGTTTTTATGCGTCTGGGAAGTTCGTAGCATCTGTACATATAGGACGTCGGACGGAGGCCGAAGGTAGATGAGTTGAATACCTAATTCCTTCACTACGACGTGCACCTCGTCAAATGATTCAACATGGCAACTTTCGCTTGCGATTCGGGTTCGCGAGGAACATGTACATCTCCTTGTCGTGGTTGACTTGCGACGCCCCGTTGACATACTTGATGCTTTGAGGTATGGCATGCTGCCGTCCAGGTGAACGAGCCGAATTCTAGTTGACTCGACGCTCCTGGTCTTGCCTTAGCTGCTCCTTTTTGATAGCTGCCTCGAGGAGCTCTCGGCGATGGTTGATCTCAGTCTCACGATGCGCTGCCATCTCCGAAAAATGAAGCACGTTGCGCATCTGCTCGTAAGCTTGGCGTTCTCGCAATGATCGAGCATTAGAAGCGTCGAGATTTGGTCTCGGGATCTTCTCCGTGTTTGGGATACCTGGCTTTGCTGGAGCCTCCATGTTTGCGACCATGATGCCGAGTTCCTGGGATGTAAGGCCGAGTGGCACGTCTGGGTTGACCTGGCCGCCTTGCAGCTCTTCGAGGGCTTGAAAGCGGCGCCCTTCCTGGAAGATGCGTTCACGTTCGCGAACAACGAGGGCGAGGAAATTCTCTCGATCTTCGACTGCGTGAGTATTCAGAGCATCGAGCTCTTTCTGCAGGCAATCGAGCTTGGTGAACGAGGAAGAGCTGAGTGAATCCTTGAGCTTGTCGTTCTCGCCGATAGGGCAGAAAATGGCCGGCGCGCATGACATCAGCCTTGGGATGATGGGATGACCTTCAGGGTCTGAAATCCCCATCAGAGGGTTAACGGTCGCGGTAGGTCGAGGAGGTTGCGCCATGGCTTTTATTTTAAGTGTTTTGGTGGAATGGGGGATGAGACATGGCAAACTTTGTGGCTGTTTGTGCAGTTGGTGTTGCACTGAGGCTGAGGATGTTGGAGGTGAGTGGGTGGGTGGAGGGCGAATATTGGAGGGTTGCTGCAATGTGATTGTACCTGCATATGACAGGCAGGCAACCTCACCTAACAGATGGAAGTGAAGGTGAAAATAGGTTATCAAAACTGCCTGTCGATCTGAACCTCCTTTCTTTCGAGAGGGGGGAGGGCGGATAGCTAGGCTTAAACAATATTCAGTCGTCATGAAACAAAGTCTTAATTTATCTTGATAAATGGCTTGGAAATGGTTACAACAAGTGCCATGTACCTATGCCGATATCTAGGTACCTGATACATACTCCAAAATACAAAATGACCACGCTTCTCTTGTTACAAATACAATGATAACCCATACTCCCATAAGACGCCTAATGCTTGTGATCATACACCGAGAGCAATAATCATTTAGTTGCCCGACAGAAAGTCTACTGGGGGCCCCTATTGATTCCCCAGCTTGAGTTATGTGCCCTTCGTGGCCCAATGTATGCCAGGTTAGCTTGAAAGTTCGACAGAGCCATGGCAACCACCTAATGCGGTGAGAGACAGTGTTGTACCCTGCTGATATACGCCTGATTATCGTTATCAGGCTGAGTGACCTCGAGAGGTGCTGTCGTCGGATTGTACCCTGCCGTACCATCAACCTCGAGAAGGCAACACATTTCGGACATATTCCCTAGCAAGCCTAACAGCTGCCCTCACTAGATCTTCTAGGCGACGGTCCTTGCGCTTTCTCAGCCATAATAACACGACAGTCAGAATGACAAAGTCGGCGAACAAATGCTTCACAACCACCCAGGCAAACCATTTCACCCAAGCTGGTAGGCTGCGTTCCTTCTTTGCCCGCCACTCTCGACCTGTTGTGATTTGTTCTCGTAACGCAGCTACCTCAGCAGACATGGTTGTCAGGGCACGCTCGACCTTTCGCTGCCACCGGCCACTAACTCGATCGTGATTTTGCGTTCCATCGATATCATCGTCCTCGAGTTCAAGTTGCTTCTGGGACCGGAGTTCCGCTTCGTCGTACTCGCTCATCGGTCTGATCTCCTTCATAGGGCCTTCGGCATCGCTTGCTTGGGCAGCGTCTTCGTATGGTTGGGATGCACCGGCCGATCGATTCGCTCGCGGCGACGATAATGATGAGCTTGGGCTGTTATTCTTGATCTGATTCCAGACAAATTCGAGTTCTGACACAAGTTCTTCGGCATCCCTGGGAGACTGTGTTAGTGTAACCCGATCGTACTGTGACCTGCGCTGGGCTTCAGGGGAGCGCTTACGGCGTGGTCGCATATCGATGCATCGTATCTATCAGCGCCTCGATGTACCTTCTCTTGGATTCTGTTCGGCTTAGTCCTTTTTGCAGATTCCATGCATCCCATTTGTCCTTCTCGCGCTGTAGGTCGTCGGAAGCCATTCCGGAGGCGGCTGTTGGACGTTCCATTACACCGTCGACATCACCCTCCATAGCCTGCTTATAAAGTCCATATAGCCGGAGTCGATCGGTTGGAGGTGGCCTCGATGCGCCAGTCTTGGGTATCTTTTTGACGGTATTGAGAGCGTGTACAAACACGCGATCTGTTTCATCACGTCAGCCACCGTGGTACAACATCCATATGAGGCGCAAATTGGAAAATGTAGCATACCTACTGAGTCCGCCATATTGGCGGTTATGTTTTATGACGAAAGATGGCTCGCGGCTCGCGAATTGCGGCCGACAGAGGTGGTGGCGATTACGTCGAGCTTAAGCTCAACCTTCGACCTGGGGTCCTTTATCGGACCGCGGCTTGTTGGCCGAGATAACGGAACCCCACAGAGAGAAAGGTCCCGAATAGAAAGGAGAATAAGAAGCTCGCAATTGATCGTGAAGTGACGGGTATACCGAAAGAAATAAAGGATTGAATAATTAGTTTACACGTAGAAGGCAATAAAAGAAGTCTAGTCGCCGTGTATTATGACTCCATTAGGACAGAAAATAAGAGGGTCATTGAACCTAAGATGAGTTAATGCGATCAGAAGCAATTGGATGATGATGATAGATCTGTTCCTAGAGCATGCGGAGGCCTGTTTATCGGCAAATGTTTGACCTCGGCGCACTTCACGGCACGCCAACACGGACACGGGGGATGTGCCTTCAGGGCCGGTTCCACTAGAAAAGGGTTCCCCAGGGGTAAGGTAAACTAAGGTAGCTTCCCCTCAATACCCTCCTGTGTCTGGGCCTGGGGTCATTTCACATGGGAAAGGCCTGGAGCTCGGCGTGATTTCATGATCAGAACAGCATAAAACAACTCCTCGTTAGACTTGAGTCCCAACTGATCAGAGGATAGAAATTTTCCGGCTTAAATGCTTCTATCTTTATCACACATCTGTTTCCATGCTTATAGATTTGTTCATTATTTACTGGCAATTGCTTTATGATTTGAGGTACTATGCACTGTATTCATCATCTCATCGTGACCCGGTTTCATGTTTCCAGAATGCTCTCATCCAGCACTATGCCTGAGCAGTTGGCTCCTTTTCCTGTGCTTCCTTTATCCAGGCCTCTTTCTTAGCTTCATAAACCTTCAATTGCTTCTTATTCTCCAAAACAGACTTCGCTGCCTTCTCGCCAGCTTCTTTCTTCCCAAGTGCCGTCCCAAAACCTAGCAGCTTCCCGGCCTCTCCCCACCCATCCAGATAGACGCCAACAGTAAACAAAGGGAGATTGAGGTTCTTATCCTTCTTGTTGCAAGGCATGTCTTCGTAACGAAGTTTGATGCCCCTGACGACGATTGATCGAGCAAGGCGTTCTTTGTTCGACGATGGCGCCTTGGGCCCCACGGTTGGTTTGGCTTGTGTAGTGTCTGTCTGTTCTGTGGGTGCTGTAGTGGCGGAGGATCGAGCTAGGAATCGCTGGCCTTTCAAGGCGTTTTTGCGATGCTGCTCTGCTTGCCTGATTTGTGCCTTGATTGTCCCAGCCCAGAGTGCCTTGAGCCAAGCGACGGCATTCGCGGCGCCGTGAGGTTCTGATTTGACGACTGCTCCAACGTACGCTTCGAAAACGTCGCCTTGGATCTTGATCGTCTCCTTGTCTCTCCCGCTTCGATTAATCAAATCCACCATTGAGCCCATATCCGTGGGAATCTTTGTTTTATACTGCATGCCGTATTGTCGATAATAATCTGAGAGCGTGAGGTTGCGGACCAGTTGTTCACGAAGTTGACTACTTCGTCCAGTGGGTAGGTCGTCAAAGGTTTCAAAGACAAGCTCTGTGGATATCATTTCGAGGGCTGCATCACCATACCACTCCAACCTCTCATAGTTAGGCCATCCTAGCCCAGGATGCCTGAAAACTTGCTCCTCAAGTTCTGGCCTTATCGGTGGCAGAGGTGGTAGGCATGGAGGGATATCTGCCACGGTCCAGCGCGACACCCCAGGCGCGACAGAAGCAATAGTGCCAGCCAGAGGAAATTTTTCTGAATCGAGTTGCACGCGCTTGCGTGGCCCATCCTCTACGCTGTGGTCATCTTGGTTCGGCCTTTTAGACATATTGATTCTTGTTATGATGAGACGCGAATAAAAAAGCCAAGTCTTGTGCTTTTCGATGTTTCATCAAATCTTAGGGACAAGACCCACAATTCAGCTATGAAAGTTCTCAGCTGGCGAAAACTTGATATCTGAACCATAATAAGTGATGAAAATTCCTAGACAACTTTGGGATACTACCTTATTGGAGACGAGTTTCAGTTGGACCTTTTCCGAATACTATTTTCCCAAGGCAGCTATATAAGTTACCTCCTCAATGTATTTTCCTCTCCCTGATTCAAGGCCGTTAAGTCTTCTGACACTCGTGCCATTGACAACATTTAATTTTCATGAACACTGTATGGGTATTAACGATAGGATTTTAATCGAAATAAAAGATTCCATATAAAATTTCACAAGTACGCGTCTTATGTGATATCTGATCGAATCCCAACTTGTAAATCTAGTCGCAGGCGCCCCATATCTTCAATGAGTGGAGGTATCGGAGTTTTGGTTGGTCTCAAGGCACTCCTTTGACTGACCCACTTGATCTTCGCTCTGACCAATCAAGTGTTTTGCTCAACTTCACCTCGGACGTCAAGTCAAGCTTCAAAAAGCTAACAAGAGCAACGATTGATGCCAAAGACGCCACGATGAGTGTCCCACGAGCGCGTATACTGGACTTGGTAAAGGTGAGTTTCTCCATGAAATGATCTGGGTCCATCTAATGATATTCCGTAGGCGCAATGCCAGGTCTTCGCGACCTCATACAACCCCGAAGGTGTACGCATGGGCAACAAGGTCCTACGACAGCGATTAAGAGGACCGGCCATGGCGGCTTACTATCCTCGAAAGACAGCAACGATCAAAGATCTCAAGCGAGAGTTCGGACCGACACTGGCTACCTGGGACGAGGGTGAGGAGGATCGCTTCGAGTATATTGAAGAGTAAGCTAGATATTGGGAATCTCAAGGATATGTGAAAGTGCTGACGGCGTGATCTCTAGGCTCAAGCTCCGCGGAAAGAGTGCACCCAAGAAGAAGAAGGGACCTCCAGGTATGTGGATTGCATACCGGGAAAAACTACCTTAGGTACTAACACCCTGCAGCTCCCACTCACAAGAAGCGATAAATCAAACAATAATGACGACGATATTTCCAATGTTGGCCCGGGCGGCAATGAGACACCCTACCGTGGATCATGAGTGTTGACCGATGTGCCAATCCAGACGCTAATTGTACGACTCATAAAGCCTGGCCGAGGGATGAAGGTGGCCGTAGGAGCCAATAGATCCTCAAGTGGCCTTCCATCGCAGTATGTATAATCATTTGTATCAGTACCCATTACATCAATCATATTTCGAAATTTCTGCTCTGTGTGCTATGCCTCTATATGTTCAGTCTATTG